CAAGTTCATCTGGGGCACCTCCCACAGGACGCTCCCGCAGACCCCTCACCCCACGGCCAGTCTCCAACCTCCTGGGACCCCTGGGTGTCAAAGTCCCTAGGGATCTCCACCAATTTCTCAGCTCTTGGGGGAACCCCAGAGAGGCAGTGGATTAGGGGTCCCCCAAGCCCGGGGAGGGGACTCAAGGGCTGCCCTGCTTCAGAGAGTGCCAGAGGGGTTCCCCAAACTCTGGAAGACGTGGGCGCTCTAGGAAATGCGAGTCTGCTCGGGAGTAGGTCGCCCTGGGGGTTCTGCACTAGGCGCGCTAGTCCCCCGAACTCCAGGGCCCGGCACTCCCCGGGGTCCCCGCGCGCCCACCCAGCGACAGCGCGGGACGCGGGGCTGTGGCCTCAGGGAGGCCGGCGTGGGAGCCGGGGCCGGGGTCCCGGTGCCGCGCTCACCTGGGGTTGCTGCGGTTCCAGTACACAGCGTAGCGGTCCGCGTTGGCGCGGGCGTCCTCAGCGCGCGCGCAGGGCGGAGGCGGCGGCAGCGGTAGCAGCAGCAGCAGCAGCGGCAGCAGCGGGCGGTGCGCGGGCGCCATGGCCCCGGTCCGGCCGCCGCGCTCTCCGGCCGCCGCCTGCCCGCGTCTCCGCCTCCTCCGCCGCTGCCGAGCGGGCGGAGCGCGCGGCGCGCTTGGAGATCCCGCCGCCCCGCCTCCGCGCGCGCGACCTCGGCCGCCGAGAAGCCAGGCGGCGGCGGGGCGCGGCGGCGGGCGGCCCCGGGCGCGGACCCGGCCGCGCGCGGACTCGCAGCCCGTCAGGGAGGGGCCGACTCCGGGCCTTTGTCCCGCCTGAGCGCCGGCCGGGCCGCGGGCGCCCCCTCCCGCCGCGCCGGGCTGCGCGGGGCTGGGCTGGGCTGGGGGCTCCAGCCCCCGCCGCGCCCCGCCCTGGCCAGACCGCGAAACGGCCCGCGTCGTTTTGCTGGATCCACAGGGTCCCGCTGCAATGACCCCAACTCTGCGGGGGGGGGGGGGGTTTCCGGGGCCAACGTTGCCGCCGACGGGGGCGGGGACGGGGACACAGGGCTCTAGCCCCTCCGTGCACTGCAGCAGGCCCTCTGCAGAGCCCCACCCCGAGCCACGGAAGAGGTGCGAGGCGCGCCCTCACCAGGGGTTCAAACATCAACTGGTCATAAAAGTCCTGAATCAGACCCGGACAACTCTGAGCGCTTTGGAGTCCAGTGGACTGAAGTCCGCAGCGTCCTCTGCTGCCTTTCCCAGGGCCTCAAGCTTCCTCTCTCTGAACCTGGAGCCTGTTCCTTCTCTGGCGTGTACAACACATCCAGTAGATACCTAAGGATGTTAGGAACACAGTAGGTGGTCAAGATCCTGGGCTCTGAGCAGCTCGGGATGGTATCCAGAAGCTGAGAATGAGATCCAGGCCAACAGCAAATAAGTCAACACACAGCAGGACAGGGAGGGAGGTCCTGGTAGAGGGCACAGCTTGTGCAAAAGCCCCAGGGTCCAGCCTGTTCAGGGACCTCAGAGGGACCTTTCCCTTTCCTGGAGAAACCAGGGGTCTGTCATCTGCTTCTGCTCTCATTCCTACCACAGTCTTTCTGGCCAAACTCTTGAGCTTATGGAGGGGACGCTGTCACCAGGTGCAGCTAGAATGGGCCAGTGGCCTCCAGCAGGTTCTACCTCTTCAGGTTTGCTTCATTTCAGGTTTGTAGACACTGCAGGGCTGGGGGCTCCACGCTGGGAGCCATCTGGACCCTGGAAGGCCCCAGTGTGAGGGACTATCCAGACTCCTCAAGGGACTCTGAGATCTGGAGAGCAGGGAACTGACCTGGACCCAGCAGCGTGGAGATGGCAAATGGACCCGCAACCACAAGCCTGTGGTGTGTGTAGGGTTTTGTCACATGGCCCCAGAGCTCCTTCCTTGCCCCCTTCCCGCAGGCCACACAGCCCACCCTTGGTCCCGACCTGGAAGTCTCTCCTTCCCTTGGCTTCCTGTCCAAGCCCTGGGTGGGGGCTGTTTTGTCCCACCTGCAAGGACAAGGCTCTCCTTCTCTGGAGAGCTCAGCCAGTCAGTTCTGGGCTTAAGATCCTGTCCCCTGACCCAACCACAGATGATCCAATTTGAAGGCCCCAGGTTGGCCCAGGTGGCTGGATAGGGGAAGATAGGGACCCCGCCACAGGTGGTGGCTGAGGCAGGTCTGGGGTCACCTGAAAGGGCCTTCACTGAGAGTGTGGGGTTATAACCACCCTGACCCCCAGAAAGGTGTCCTGGGGGCCTGGCATGGTCTGGCTCACTGGGGAGCAGAGAGGTGGCCTTTCCCAGAGAGGGTGTCTTGAGTGGAGGTGTGGCTGGAACACAGGAAGGACACAGAGGGCCCAGGGGCATTCTGCTGGCAAAGGTGGGCATTCCCAAAGCCCCCCTGCCAAGACAGGAGCCGCCCTGCTGGGGAGGCGGTGGACAGGCAGTCTGGTCTGTCAGACCCAGCAGGCCTTGACCTGCATGGGGAGAACCACAAGGGCACAGAGGAGAGGACCCTGGGCAAAGGCCTGGGTCTGCTCATTTGCATGCAGGGGCCACCAAGGCGGGAGCTGCCACCGCAGAGCGGATTTGAGCAGAAGCTCACTCTCCTCTGTTCTTGTCTCTCTCAAGGTCAGAGCCCAAGCAGGGACAGGAACAAAGGCGGCGCGTCCCCCATTCAACCTCCCTGTGCCCGCCAGGCACTCCTGAGAACTGTCCGGGAGGAGAGGGAGGGCTCCAAGCCTGCCCCCTTAAGGCTGTTCCAGGGGACCCTGCCCTGCCAGGGGAACCCCAAAGTCTTCTTCCCTCCTGGGCAGGGGCTGCCTCAGCCTGGAGAATCAGCTAGCCAGTGGTCAGCCAGGTTAAGGGGCCACTCTGGACTTTTCCCTTGGAGTCAAGGGTCAGGGGTCAGGCTCACTTTATGGACAAGGGTCCGTGTCAGGAGTTATCCAGGGTTAGGGGCCAGCCACCAGCCCAGACCCAGTACAGGGACTTTGATGGGGGCCCACCCCCATCCACCTGGGTGTGAATTCTTGGGCACAGGTGTTTGCTGGACACTGGGGGAAGGTCTTCCTATCCAGACCCAGCCTGGGCCCCTGGCTCACCCACAGGGCCAGGCTGCAGGGCATGGGACCCAGACCAGCAGCCCTCAGCCATCCAAGGCCACAAGCCTGGGTAAGTCTCATCACAGAATCAAGTGGACCAGACCCACCGTCAGCTCCAGCTGGGGCAGTTTCAGAAGCCCCAGCTCTGCCAGGCAGCACTAGCAAGTCCAGCAGGGCACCTGTGGAAGGGGCACTTTTGTGGACAGCGTCTGTACCCAGCCCAGTGTACCCACTGGGGGTCAGGGAGTCTAGATGTGTCCCTTCCTCCTGCCGATTAAAATGCCACTTGTGTCCAGTCAGGCCCCGAATCTCAGTGTGGATCCTAAGGTTCCAGCAATCCCCACTGTCAGCCATGGAGGGGGGAGGGTACTTCCCACCCTCCTCATCCTCCCCGCTTCACCCCCTCCACACCACTCCCCCATGGTGACACCCACCCTCCAGTGGGACGACTGTGTCCAGAACTTCCTGGGTGTCATGCAGGAGTGTGCAGTTATACATGGGGCTAAGGCCCAGAGATTTGTGTAATCGTAACAGCAACAGAGGCGTTTCTCAGAGGAGCAGCGACCATGCCAGAGACCTCAGGTCTGGCTCAGGGCTTAGCATCCACACAGCCACACTTTGTGAAGGTAGGGGCCGTGACCCCTACACACATAACCGAGTCCCAGGCTCCCTTTCCACAGCCTGCCTTGCACCTACATGTGCAAGTGTTTGCACACTCGAAGTGCAGCAGTGCTGGGAGCCCCTCTGCTCCCCTCAGGCTGAGGGGTCCAGGCCCTTCTGCTGGCACTGCAGGCCCCTCTCCTGGCTGTTAGCCGTGGATGACTCTCAGCTAATAGTGCATTAACCTTGGCGGGGGCTGCCAATTACTTCACACTAATGCTGGGGGTGGCGGCTGATGGGCTGACAGGCACAGGGACAGACGGGCGGTGCTCACCCTCCACCCAGCAGGGGAGGCAGCAGGCGGGGGAAGGGGTGGTGTTCCGGGCTCTGGATGAGCTGGGTCTCTCCTGACCTCATTAGAGTAATTAATGTGCTTTTTGAAGCTTGAGAAATGGCTCAGAGCTCTGGGAGAGGGGTGCAGATCACAGGGTGGGGGGCCAGGACAGACTTCATGCCTGTTAAAAATGTGTCCCACAGGGTCTGACGCAGAGACGAGAGCTGATCACAGTGAAGGGAACAGTTGCAGAGACACAAGGGCACGGGGCTCTGCGCCAGACCCACACAGACATGAAGCAGTAGCCAGGGCCTGCCCAAGACTCCCAACTGTGTCAGCTACTCCCCGGTGCTCTGGCCTCCCAGCCTTCCCTGAAGGAGCCAGAACAAACTGGTGGTGCAGTCAGGGAGAGCATCCTGGGGGCGGTGGCTGAGCAGAGAAGGACCAGGCAGGCAAGCAGATGGGAAGGGCAGGGGATGCTCCTCTGTGCTGCAGTGGTGCACATGAGGAGGGGGCTCAGGAAGAGGTGTGAGAAACAGCCCCACAGGACCTGCTTCCCCAAGACAGCTCTGCTCCTGGAAAGCCAGGGGACAGCCAGTTAACACAAGGCTGCCACCTGGTGGCAATCCCAGGTCACATGGTGAAAAGGACTTCAGCCAGTGGGGGAGGTGCATCGCTAAGGAGACCTGGACTCTGCCTGTCCTTAGCTGGGGATGGGAATACAGGGGCATGATGAGGAGTGGCACATGGGCCTCAGGCGGCTCAGCCACCACACCAGGACTCCTCTGGAACTCCCCCAAGGTGCTAGAAGACTGAGATGCATGGCTCTTAAACCCCAGGCTATAGGTGGCATAGCCAAGGGAATCCTGGAGCAGAGATCCCCATCCTTCACCCACCACACCTGGGCACCCAGGCCTGGAGTCAAGGCAGGGTGGACGCCAGACATATTAGCCAATGCCTCATTTATTGTCCCCAGCTCAGCACAAACATGCTCTGAGACCAACCCCTCAGTCCATCTGCCCATCAGGCCTCAGTACAGGGCTGCCACATCTCCACGCAGGAAGGGTGTAGGGTGTGGTACAAGTCAAGCTGGGGGACCTCAAGAGTCCCCAGTGGTGGTTGGGGGCCCTCAGGTTTCAACATACTTCCTTTTGCCAAGCTAAGGCAGCATCTGGGGAGGTAAGGCCCTGTTGTCCAGGTTGGGATCAAGCAGGCTTTGGACAGGCTGCGCAGGCTCCGACCAGAGTGCTGGGTGGCACCAAAGCCCGAGGACAGAGCTGGGCTGTCTCTCGCCCTTCCCCTGTGGCCCATGAGAACGCCTGCCCCCTTCAGCATCTGGAAGGCGAGAGAAGAGAGGGAGGTGAGGTGTGCTGTGCTCAAAGGAGGGCAGCCCACCAGGTGCACCCTCCCCAAACGCCCCCTTGCTGGAAGGGGTTCCTCCAAGAGGGGGTGGTAGAAGACACTGCAGAGGGGCTGCCAGGCTTAAGTCTGCCTCCCTTCTGGGGATCTGAAAACAGAATCATGCTCCACGCTGCTTTGCCCGTTGGTCTCCTAATCCTCCATGTCTGTCCAGTTCCAGCAGGAGGGGTCCCCGTAGCAGCCATGCTAATACCTGCTGAGGCCCCACCCTCCCCCATGCAAGCAGTACTCCCTTCTGGCTCCCCGGCTTTTGCCCCCATGATCCCTCTGCCTGGATCTCCAAGACTGGTCCTGTCAAATGCTGCCCATGAGCCTGCCACAACCCTCCACCTTGAATGCTGACCTTATTAATCAATGTGGGGCCCATGGTCAGTGTGGCAGTCTCCCCACCTCTCTTTATTTATTTACTTTTGCCATGCTGGAAATGGGAGCCTGATGTATGCTACCACCCGGCCACATCCCCAACCCTCTTTCGCATCTTAAAGAGAAGGAAATGGAAACCTGGAGAGAAAGCGAGGTTGCCCAAGGGGGTGGTGGCCTGAGCATCAATGTCCCAGTGACTGGTTCAATGGCCCCATGGGTTGCCTGCACCCCCCAGTCCTGCTATTTCTCTCAAGTCTCCAGCTCAGCTTGGCCTTAACTGGGTTCCCTGGAGGTAAAGGGGGACTTCCCTACCATCTCAGGTTCCTTGTCTCAAAGACCGTCTCCTCATCACCACTGTCCAGTGAGGCCATCTCGGTGGGGTCCTCGGTGTTGGCCAGGAGCCCATACCTTCTCCGTTGTGGTTTCTTCAACCTGCACATGGTCCAGACACACTCAGTGGCTGTCTCTGCTCTCTCCGTCTGGCCCCTGGCCCTCACTTTTGTGCCCGTTCCCACCCCCAGAGTCCTGCTGCATCCAGCCCAATCATGTCTGCTACCTTCACATTGTAAAAGCCATGAGGATTATTACTAAATGCTTTCGTATGGCTGGATGTGGTAGCACACGCTTGTCATCCCAACTGAGGTAGGAGAATTCCAAGTTCCAGCCTAGCTAAGCAACTGGACACTGTCTCAAAACTTAAAAAAGGGTTGGGGGTAGCTCTCTTGTAAAGTACACCTGCATTCAATCCTCCCTCAGGGGAAAATAAAAACTGTCACTGCAGCAACAGCAAGTGAACACATTCCTCAGCTCACCCCCACCTCCCCTGTGCCAAGACCACAAGAAAATGATGATGTTCCGGCTCCCAGTTTACTGACAGAGAGTCCCGGAGCAGAGTTAAGAGTCCACCAGTGCCCTAAAGGGAGGACTGTGGGCCCAAGCCCCTGCCTGCCTGCCGGTGGCCATACCAGAGAAACGGAGAGACAGATATAGTGAATGGGCATACGCAACGGAGTCAGGAGGTGAAGGCTCTCCACCAAGAACTACAAGACTGTGCTTGGATGATGACCAGAAGGGACATCACCACCGATGTGATGAGGGTCCTTCCAGAGATCAGCTCCAGAGTGCCCCAGAGGCACAACAGAGACGAGGGCCAAGGGGAAGGACAGGCGCTTCTCACCTTTCTAGGGGAAGTCAATCAGGAGAACCCAGAATGAAGGGGCAGGCTCCAACGCACAAGTCCTACACAGGGGTGGGGAGAGCAAGAGGACCCAAAGGGCCGCAGAGGGCTTGACCAGACTCCGACCAAGAAAGTCAGAGGCCAGTTGTAGCAGGCGAACGCCAGGCAGAGGGTCCCTGGGGGCCTGGAGAGTCTCTATGCAGTGCTAAGAGCAGTACCGGAAAATAGGACAGGACACTCGTGGCTGCCATAAGCATGAGAACAGAGAAGCAATCTCTTGGTGTCCTCCAGGGAAGGAGAGACCGGCCATGCCATCCGCCTAAAAAGCAGCACCACCCCATACTACCCCTCGCTGGTGAAAACTACCAAAACCCGCTACTTGCCCTGGGGGAGCCACGTGGCAGCACGGCCCCGCCCCCACACGTGACAGGTGCCAATTGGCTGAGGAAGGGCAGCGGCAACAACTTCCGCCTGACGAACCTGAATGCCCGGATGAGGAAGTAGAGCGCCGCCAGGCCACAGAGGCCCGTGAGCACGTAGAAGGAGCGCAGCAGCGCCGAGCCCTGCGCGCCCGGAACCCACGCATGCGTTCTGTTGTGTGGCTCGTCCGGCTGGCTCCCGTTCGTCGTGGCGGGCTGCGGCGAGGGCGAGGGCGCGGGCTGAGACGGCGCAGCGTCCTCAGCCCAGCAAAGCAGCGCCGGCAGCAGCAGCAACAGCGCCGGCGGCACGCGCGGCCCCATGGCCCGGCGGAAGCGGTGCCCCGCCTCTGCTTAAGGCTGCCACTCAGACGCGCGTGGGCGGTACCGGCCTATAGCCGGCGGGGGGCGGGGCACCCGATCGGAAGTCCCCTTCAGACGGCCACGTTACCCACAGTGCCCCGCGCCGGCCAGCCCACGTCCCCGCCCCGCCCCGCCCCCGGCCTCCCGCCGCTCCCGCGCCGCACCCCGAAGCAGACACGCGCTTTCTGGGTGACACACGCCCTTTATTCAGACCGCGCGCCCCGCCAGCCGCCCGGCTCTTGCTCCTGCACCGACCATGGCCCGCGGCGAAGCTCCGTCCCGCGAGACCCGCGGGCAGCCCCCGGCCGGCTCTGGGGCACTTACGGCGACGAGCCGGGAGGCAGGCGGCTGGTCTCGCTGTCCTTCTGTGTGGCCCTCCTGGCGGCGACCCGAGGTCATCGCTGCTGTCCATGCGGGCCGCCTTCACCCTGCCAAAGCAAAGGAGCGTTACAGCCGCGTCCCTGGGCAGGGCTGCTGCCCCTCCCGGCCGCCCTGCAACCTCGGCCGCGGGCCCCTACCGGGCCGGCCTTTGCCTCTCCAGACAGCGCCGAGCCGCTCAGAGTCCGGCGCGGGCTCGGGGGTCTAGGGCGGCAGCAGACACGAGCGCGCTGCGTGCGGAGTCTGGACAGGCTGCCGGCTGTCCGCACGGCAGGGCGCTCCGGGGCCTGGCCCGCCCGAGGCCCCGGCTGGCCGCAGAGGGCCGGGGCCGACGACCAGGCCTGACTTTAGTTCTAGCTTGACTTGAAAATAAAAAAGGAAAACCAAAAGCAGTCCACGGAACCGTCCCCGGTGGTGCGGGACTCGAGCTCTAGGAGGGAGGCGGACCGCGGACGCGTTACCTCAGTACAGGCTAGTGCACTGCGCGCTAGCCCAGGGAGCCGCTGGTCTCGGAGGTTCTGTGGGCGCACAACGTCTGTCCTCCGAGGGCTGCAGCTTCATAGGCTAGCAGAGAACGCTCAGAACTCGTGAGGCAGGCAGAGCTAGCTAACCAGCCCAGTCTGTGGTCACCAGGCCACTGCGCTGTCCCTCTCTGCCCTGCTGCTAGGCTAAGGCCGTCCGGTCAGGTGTCCAAGCGCTGGCTGTCCCTGCTAAGGTGCCCGCCCCATCGAGCCCTCCAGCGGCTGCCATCACCAGAGGCACCAGGGCGCTCTGCGGGCTGAGCTGCTCCTCCCGTCACCCACCTGGCTCTCCTAACGGGAGGTGGCTTTCAGCTGTCCACAAGGCCCGACTGGGTCATTTTACCCTGCCTTCCTCCTCTAGCTCCCTTCAGGCCTCAGCTAGGGCCCGCAGACCTATGCGCGCTGTGCTGCAGCTGCGCTGTGCTTGCTCAGGTCTGACTGTGAGAGCCCGCAGCACAGCGTGTGTTGTGCAATGAAAGGGAAATTGTCAGAGCAAGGTTCGTTTCACACGGTCTTTTAATCGGCTTCGTAAAGCCAAAGAAAACTGCGTACAAGAATTCCTTAGCCACTGCAAATACAACATCGATGGAGTATGCATACGTCTTCCAGTAAAAAAGGACAATATAAATAAACATCTTCAAGAACCTCTGCAGGGACATCTGCACCTCTACTGTGGGGCGCACACAGCACAGATGAGCGTGCAGGCGGGGCTCCAGGGCAGCCTGTGCAGCCGCCCGGGGCAGTGTCCTATCACGCTACACTCAGAAACGTTACACAGAGTTGGAAAAGCCTCAGCTTGCTCAGCTTCCGACAGAGAGCGGAGTCAGAGTCCACGTGATCTCAGAGAAGTGATGGGGCACCCAACTTCGCCGGGTGACCCCACTAAAAAGAAACAAAAAAAGCAACACAACCAAAAAAATCCAAAACCAAAAAAACCAGTAACCAACAACCCACACAACAGGGCTGGGGTGTGGCTCAGTGGTAGAGCACTTGCTTTGCATGCATGAGGCTCTGGGTTCCAACCCCAGCACTGCAAAAACAAAAACCACACAACCCCTGCAAGTGTTTTTTAAAAACCCATGGCTCATGGTAAAAAATAAAATCTGAAGTGCTTTTCAAAACGTTTTTAAAACCTTTAAAAACGGACAGCGCTTCCTTAAAAAAGAAAAGTCTAGTAATGAGGCCATCTTGGGGGTCAGAAGCAGTCAGGCTGGGTTGACAAGATCAGAACTGAAATGACTACAAAAGTGGGCATACAAGGAGGTGTGTTCACTACACATTAACGATTCAGCGAAGCTCCCAAAATCTTTAAATACACAGCCATTGGAAGGACGATCTTGAGCAGGAAGGATTTTTACTCGTTGTGTGTAGCTGAGGACAAGAAGCAGGCACAGTGTAAAGGCGCTGAAGCACGCAGCAAGATGCAGCATCCACTCCCATCCAGACCGGAGGGCCTCGGGAGCAACCACCCCCCACAGCCAGGGGAGGGAGGCCGCAGCGGCACACATGCACCTATGCTGGACTGCACGGCGGCTCCCTCACACTCCCTTTCCTTTGGTCACTGACTGGTTTTTGTGTTCTACAGTAGAAACAGCTGAAAGGACAGACTTGTTCCTTACGGACAAGCAGAATGACAAGGTCTGAGCACGGAGCCTAAGTTGGAGGGCGCCAGGGTTTACTGAGCTCCCACCACAGTCACAGAGTGTGGTACCCTTGGAGCAAGACTTACCGTAACTGTCATAGCTGTCTCTGTAGGAACCACCTGAGCTCCGGTCACCGTAGCCACCACCCTGACTCCGACTGTGGGGAAGAGATACATGGGTGCTAAAGGACACCTTGACTACTTAAGCTCAAGCCTATACCGATAGAGCTCCAGCTCCCAAACCAGCTGCCCATGTTAGGAGAAGCAGAGCAAACTTGGTTATTGTCAAAAATTGCCATCTCAGGGCTGTTAGCGCTTGCCTTGCTCTGGGTTCCATCACTAGCATAAGAAAAATGAAAAACAAAACAAAAACAAAAAACCCCTGCTACCAGCCATACTCCCTGATCTTCCATGATCTGAGCACTCCTTCCACTCCTGCTTCTGCCACTTCCTCACCTCTCCTGTCTACCAGCCTGCCAGCTTATGCCATGCCATGTGGGGAGCATCCTCCCCAGGACCAACCCTCAACAGCTTCCCTTAAGCCCAGCCAGACTCTGCACCTCCTCACCTGCTGTAGTAGTCTCTGGAGCCTCCGTAGCCCCCACTCCGGGACTCAAACCTGCCACCCCCATAGCCTCGGTCCCCTCCCCCTGTAGAAGACAAACAGAACCAAAAAGAGGATTAGCACCGCCCACACCAGCCGCACTCCACTGTGCCCCGCAAACTGCCGCACTCACCTCTGGAGAACCCACGGCCCCGGCCCCGGCCCCCACGGAAGAAGCCCCGGCCTCCAGTAGAGCCACCTCGGTACCCTCGGGATCGATTGTCGGATGACTTGCCAGCCTGGTCAACTCGGATCTGCCGCCCGTCCACAGACTGGAGAGCAGAGGGTAGCGCAGTCAACCCCTGTGCCTGGCATCTTAGGAAACAGAACTCCCACTCGGCCCGTGGACCCGCAGAGGCCAGCCCTCACCTTCCCATTCATGGCCATCATGGCGTCCTTGGCATCATCGATGTTCTCAAAGGTGACAAAACCAAAGCCTCGCGATCGCTGGGTCTCCCTGTCTTTCACCACCACCACTGGGCAGGAGAGAAGGCCTGGTCAGAGCCCAGCAGGCCACAGCGGGGTCCCGCAGCCGCCGCTCAGGCCCGCTTACCTTCCGAGATCTGTCCGTACTTGGAGAAGACCTGCTCCAGCGACTGCTCGTTGGTGTCAAAACTGAGCCCGCCCACGAAAAGTTTGCCTTCGTCGGACGCCATGGCGGCCTGCGGCACACACCACCAACCTTTCAGGCGCCTCGCTCACGGCTCCCTTTCCTCTCGCGCCCCGCCGACCCGCCCTCCGGGGAGCTCCCCGACCCCCTCGGCTCGGCGGCCCACACCCGGCCGCGGCCCGCCGCCTCGGAGCCAGCTCCACCCACCGGGCGCGCCGCGGGCGGGGCCTCCCGCCCACCGAGCGGGGCTGGGCCGCGCTGGGCCGCGCCCCGCGCCACGGGCAGGGGGCGAATTCCCACCCTGGCCACTGCCTGTCTACCGACTGAGGGGCCGGACTGGAAGGTGCTTTCGATCACTGTACGACGCCCCGAGGGTGCCGTCATGGAGGCCGCCCCGTTCTGGGGCGGAGTCTCGGCTGTGACGAGAATCCTGGCTTTTAGGGGACGCGGCTACTTAGAGGGGCGGGGCATGTCGACTTGGACAAAGCATTTATTGGCTGGGGACGACCACTGCCCAAAGGTCCGGAAACGAGGAGCGGGACTCATAGGCCGCGCAAGGGGCTGTCGCCTCACACACACACTGAGCGCGCCCGGCCTGGCCTGGCGAGGGCGTCCTTTTAAATGTGCTACCACATGGGGACGGGAAAACAGAGGCTCGTGGAGCGGGAGCCACGGGGTGCGCGCCGCCCCGGCCCCACAGCCCGGGACGGGCCTCCACGCGCCCCGTGGCCCCGCCCCCTACTCAGCCCCGGCGCATGCGCCACGCGCACGCCCTGCGCCATTCCATCCGGGCACTCGGCACTCCCGCCATTTCGCTGGCGCAGCCTGGAGCTCGCGGCCGCCATTTTGAGCAGGGCCCGCCAAGCCGGGGGCCCGGGTCTCAGGGGAAACGCCCTCAGGCCAACGCAGGACCCGGTCTCCCGCTGCCCCTCGCCGCCGGAGGGACGGACTCCACCCCGGGCCCGCCCCGGCACCGCCCCCTCCCAGGGGCGTGCCGCCGCGGCCCCGCTTCGCCTGGGCGTCTCAGGCCGCCCACCGCCCGGGCCCCTCGGAGTCGGTGCCGCCAGGGCCCTCACCGCTGAGTCGGGCAGGTCCCTGACGCGAGCGGGAAGACGGCACACCACACCGACCCGAGCCTCCTAACGCGCGAGTGAGGGGGGGCGCCCCGTGCCCGGTATGATATATGCTGCCGCCGGGCCCCGCCCCCCCTAACCCGCCCCTTGAACCTCGTAAGCCAATCCGAGGCTTCTGAAACTGCGATCGCGCCTCATATTCATGAGTTGGGGCGGGGCAAACTCGGGCCCCGCCCCTCCCCCAGCACTGGCGCCGGGCGTGCTGATTGGCCGGAATGTTCCCAGTCCGCAGTCTCCCGCCCCCGTGCGCGGGGGCGTGGTCGGGGCAGTGGGGCAGGGCTGACCCACTTCCGTGTGCCCGTACTCTGGCCTGCGGCGAGGAACAAAGGGTCTCCTGCCTCATGGCACCCACCCCCTCGTATCGCTCCAATCCCAACATATCGACTTCATCCAGATGCCTATACCTATCCGAGCCCTGGACTTCAGATACCCCAACTTCCTCTGAATCCTGACATCAACCCTTATCTACTTGCCAATATAGCTGATAACCCCCGACTCCCAGAACTCCAAGGCTCCTGAATGAACCATTTCATGCAATCAAACGCAACACCCAACCAAACCCCAACACCGACAGTCCCATTTATGTGAGCCCCAATATTCCCCACAACTCCACTTCTTCCTCCATCCCAACACTTTGGGACACCCCAGTTCAGTGTGCCCACAAATCCAACCACATCCGCCCCTAACTCTAAGCTATTCCCTGACCTCACTCTCTCCATCCCTGGCAGATACTTCACAGGCATCTCAACACTCACCTGGCCTGGCATTTGTCCATCCCAGGTCTATGTGCCAAACCGACACCCATGTTCAAGTGGCTCCACCATGCAGTCCCCAATATACCCAAACCCAGCTCTGCCTTTGGCTTCCCCGCTGCTACCAGGCATCCCAGTCACAGCCATCCCGTGGGTCTCCACAACCACAACCTACTGACTACCCACCCGGAGGTCAGGGCCCTCTATGCTCTGCCACCCGTGTCTTGTCCTTTAGAAGGCATCTCTTCTCTGGTCCTTAGATGTCCCAAGAGTTTGCAAAGGCCTTTGCCCCTAAGGCTGCTCCTGGGGTGGGGGACCTTTTATGGCCTGCTTAGCTCATGCTGCTCCCAGGCCACCTAGTCGAAGAAGAAGATTGTAAATCCTTCTCTGTCTGCCCAGACCAGTGATCCACACTACAGCTCCTCCCCCAGAAAGTCTCGGACTCTGCAGGAAAGTTGAGGGTCATTGAAGAAGAGGCCCCATTTTCCTGAAAAATCCCAGCTCCACCCCAGGCCTCGGACTCAAGCAGGTCGAAATGACCCAGCTATCTCCAGTGACAAGTCGCCAGTACCCTCAAAGAGCTCAAGGACCCCTTCCCAGGCCGGCAGTTGCATGACTCATGGCCACCCCCTCTGCACCTTGCCTCCCCGTCAGCAGCAACCTGCTGCTGCGTCAGCCACTCACGCAGGACTGTTATTATAAGGAGCAGAGAGACATCAGCATCCAGCTCCCCTGGCTGTGTGGAGGGGGCCACCCACACCCTCAGGAGCCTAGACCACTGGCACACCCCGCCCCGGAGCAATTCAGGCCCGCCCTTTCCAATCTGAATCCTAGGCCAGGAAATTCTTGTGCCATAGTTTCTCAGGGATGGGAAGCGTCTCTGTAGTCACAATTCCGGGGTCATTCTGGGCCCCCACATTGCCTCTAGTTCTGAGTCCCTGCTTCCTCCTGGTTTTGTGTGGAGCCCTGTGTTCATTCACTCATTCTGCCAGCACCTAGTTATTCAGCTTACTACCAGCAATTCCTGTGTGCCGGTCCCCGAGAGTACCCACGGCCGTCCGGGGTCCCCAGCAAGGTGTGGACGTGAAACTGCGGAAGCCTGTCCTCTGCGCTTCTGCCCCTCCACAGGGTGCTCGAGTCTCAGCTTTGTACCGGTCTCCGAGCCTGTGCCTCTGTGGTGTCCTGTCTGCGTGTACATCAGTCTCGGCGTGTCACCGTGACTCACTATCCTCGTGCGGGGCTTGCAGGAGGTGAGGACCCCTTCTCACCCCGTCTGCCACCCCTACACGATGAACTCGAGGCCAGGCTCATAGCCCGGCGCTGACACAAGGGGGCGCCGCAGCCTCGCTGTCGGCGTGGCTGAAGCTTTTGCGACCAGCTCCCAGGTCCCGCCCTTCAGGGCAATCGCCAGCTGCGTGGCCTCGCGTGGAGTGTCGGGTCCTTCTACCGCCCCCAGCCCTCGCGGGTCAGGACGGCCAACCCGCAGGGCGAGTACCTCCCTGGCGTGGGGACCTCAGAGCCCTGTTGCCTTCCCCAGCTCGCCCCGCGACTATGCCGGGCCGGAGTGGGGTTGCTATTCCTGTATAGACGCTTGGGACTCGCCCCTGCCCCTCGAGGACTCGGCCTCGGCCGGGAGTCTCCCTGTCTCTTCATCTCCGCATTTCCCCGGCTCTGCGCAGCGGTCGGCTTTTTCACAAACCTGCCCCCTCCCCAGCCAGCTGTCTCCGACGGGGCGCCCCCCATCCCGAGGGTTTCGCCCACTCCACCCCAGGGCTGGCAGCCCCGCCCTCCCTCTGCGAGGCGTCGCTATATAGGTGGGGGCAGGGCCGCTTCTCCTCCGCCTTCCCCGCGGGGCCGGGCCCGCCGGACGCTGGGTCCTTTCCCGACCCCGGCTAATGACCGGGCGGGAGGCGATAATGAGCGTCTCGACCAGGGACGGGAGTGGTCCAGGATGAAAGACTTGTAGTGGTGGTGGGGTACCCCGGGGCCGCGTAATTACCGCCCCCTCCCGGCCAGGCGGGGCTGGGATGGTGCACCTGGCGGCCGCCAGGCGGGGGCGCAAAAGTGGGGCCGTCCTGGTAGACTCCAGTCACCCAGCTGGCCCCAATCCTCGGGGCCCAGAGCCAGGGTGGGGGATGAGCAGACTGTGCGTGCTGCCAGGTGTGGCGCATGTGTGTGCTCGTGGGCCTCGGACTCGTGGGCACTGAGATGACTAGGGACAGGTTCGTGTGGACAGGAAAGTGGGGATGTACTTGGGTGTACACAGGCGTGGGGGGGGGGGGTGCTGGGAGCTTGGCAGCCCAGTCAGGACAGGATCACATTTGCCAGGCATGCAAGCCTGTGTTCCACAACACACAAGAAGGGGTGCTGAGACCCCCAAATATGTACACAATCCGGATGTGCATGTGGGAGCAACTCAGGACACGCATGGGTATGCGTGACAAGGGTGGGCCGGGACCCACAAAGCGTATGTGCCCATGCCTGGTGCTATGACTCATGTCCCTGGGTGGGCACTTGAGCTATGTCAGCAGCAGAAGGGGCAGTTTCAGAAGCCAGACGTCCAGAGCAGTAAGGGTTAAATCAGCCCCTACCCCAGGACCCCCAGGACCTACCTGTACCAAGGGGGTCTCTCTTCCCCAGTGCCTAAGGTTCAGAGGTCTGCAACACAGAAATGCCAGAGGGGGGCTGCACCTTGTTCCTAGGAGGGGGTCTACATCCAGGATGGGGTGCAGGGCCCAGACTGGGGCTGGGCCTAAGCTGCCAGTGACTCACCCCCTCCCCACAGGACTGAGTCACAGCCCAGGAATGTACAGGCTGTTAGGCCACATCTGCTCCTGGTCAGCCCAGGCCAGAGCAGGCCATCCCAGCAGCCCCAAGGCTGGGCCTTAGCACACATATCCTGTGACACACCACACACACACATATGCACTCACTGGGCACAAAGTCACACAGCCACCATGCACTGGGCACCAAGAAGTGCCCTGGGCATGAAAGTTGACTACAGTCCCCTATTGCTGCCAACTGCATGCATACATGACAGGTTGCATATGAGATCCAGAGGATACATGGTCACACAGTGATGGTGGTCAGGACAGAAGGCCCCATGCCTGCTCTCAAGACCACACCTGCTCAGTCTTTCTGTACTCCATACAATGCAGAGGCCAAGAAAGTGACCCCTGCCACTGAGGGATGGACAGTGGGAAGGGCAGAAAGTGAGCACACCTGGCAGGATGTACAGTGACCTGTATTTGTGGGCATGCCACCTGAGATGTCTGGGAAATGCCAGAGTCCCTGCAGCAGCCAAGAACACCCTGCAGCTGGCCTAGGTGCCTTACCTGGGGGTGCTCAGGACACGCACACTGTTTCTAAAACCGGGTAAGGGGGTGGGTATAGACTGCCCACCTCTATGGCCTCAGAGATGCTTAGCAATAACCCCCATCCTCTAGGGGCCAAAGGAACAGGTCCCCACCATAGCCATTCACTGTACTCTGGGCCCCACTCCCCACCTTGTGGCCCCAAAGCAGGGCATCACCTGTACACAGGTTCCCTGTAAACCCAAAGGACACAGAGTGGCTTCTGCCTGGGGCTGGTGGTTTCTCTGTGTCAACAACGGAGGAAGTCAAGTGGAGATCCAGTCCTCTCCTCCACACCCTCAACCTGGGGCAGCTATAGGGACTCACACCCCTGCGTGTGGCAATCCAAGTCACGTAGCATCTGCCCACCCCAGAGGCTGCAGGGCCCCCATACAAGCAGATGCCTAGAAAATATGTCCATGCATCCATATCAGGATCTGTCCCTCCAGGGTCACACAGAACCAAGGGCCAGCTGAAAAGTGGGTGACAGGCAGCAGCACCTCTGGGGACAGGGGAGCTTGGGTTCTCTCTCTTCTGCATGTGGCAGTTCACAGAGTACTGTCACTCAAGTTAATTTCCTTCTTTGCCTGTATTTCCAACAGTAACCAAAAGGCTCCTGGCTGAAGTCAGGGGACAGCTGTGAACCGCCCCCCTGTGTGCACCTGCTTCCCACCCAGACCAGAAGACTGCAGTGGCCACGGGTGGGGGAAGGGGAGGGCCTAGGGCCCAGAGCTAGTGGCCAGTGGTTCTTAGCCCACTTCTCCCACTGTTTGTTGGAGGGTGCTGCATGGTGACTTTTAATACTAGGGTTTTAAGGGAGGTCTTGGGCCAGGGCAAGAATGGGGGTACCCTTCGTTTTGAGGGTCACACAGTTGATTCAGGGATTGTGGAGGAACCAGTGCGGGCCTGGGGCAGGTTTATGGGGGTGTGTGTGGGTGTTGTGTACTTAAGAGCCTGGCAAACAGATGGCACTCAATAAACACCCTTAGAGCGTTGAGGGGTGTGCTGTACACACCGGTCGTGTGTCTGGTGGCCGGGCGGTATGGGGCTGTTTGTGGGGTACTGCTTATTCTCCAGGAGGGCTGGGTGTGGGCAGCGTCCTGGGTGTGGGGCGGGGGCTGGGCAGTCGCAGCCCGCGTTCTGCGGCAGCCGGCGGGGTGGCCGCCTCCTTGGTGGGGGCCCCGCCCACATTCCAGAGGGGTCGGGGTGCCCTCGGGCCCACCCGCTCCAGAGCCTACTCCCTCCCCGGCACCCGAGGCAGCAGCTGGCTCCAGGGAGGGGCGCGGGGCCGGGGAGGAGGCTGGAATGTGAGCCGGGGGTGAGGGAGGGGGCCCGGGAGGGGGCGGAAGTAGGGGAGGGGAGGCGCGGGGCGGGGCGGCCGAGAGGGACGAGAATAGAGGGGGATGGAGACGGGACAGAAATAGAGGCTGGGAGACCCAGGAAGACCAAAAGAAAGAGAAACAGGGGGTAGACTGACAGAGCCAGAGGGAACCGGACGCGAGCGGGAGGAGGCAGGAGGCAGTGGAAGGAGGCGCCCGGCCCTGCCGTCGGGCCGGCGGCCGGGCCTCCCCCACCGCTGGGCTGCTCACCTGCTCCCAGTGACACCGGAGAGCGCCAGTTCTCTGCCCTCCCAAGGCTGGGCAGCCGCGGGTGGGGCTGGAGTCACGACTCCCGGGTAGGGCCCCAACGCCCTCGGCCGCGGGAAGTGGCAACTCCCATTCCCATGGCTCTGCGAAGGAGGGCGGTTCGCACCAGGCCCTGTGGAGGCGGTGTGGGGAGCACCCCTGTCCCACCTCCCCAAGGTTTCTGGCCAGGGGCCTGGCTTCTTCCTGCCACCCACCACGAGCCACCTCCTGACCAACCGTGGTCTTTGCCATCCCCAAACCTTGGAGCCAGCTCCAAATGCTCGTTTGGCTACCCCCAGGGCACTCAGGCCTCTGCCAGAAAGCCCTGACCTCCAGTGCCCTCATATCCCACAGCTGCCTTTTCTCCGACAGAGCCTGCCCACCTAGGAGGTCACCCCCTTAGCTGAGGCAGTCAAGTCCCTCCGGCTTTGGCAGCCCCTTCGTTCCACTAGCTTCATAGTCTCCCTGTTTACTCCTCCTCCCGGACTAGCGCCAGAGGCCAGCCTGGGGCCAAAGCTTTTGGTTAACATCCTCCCCACTTGGCAAATACCCACCCCTGCTGACTCTGACTGCTGCCTCTGTAAGCCTAGTTAAAACCAAAGCTGAACCCAAGGCAGGGGGCAGCTGGCCCGGAAATTCCACCCCCTGGGTCCTCAACAACTCCTGAGCAATTGCCAGCCTCTCAGCCAAATGCTCAAACACACAGGCAAGCAAACTCTTCCCCCTTCCCCAGACTCTAGGGCTCTCAGCAGCCCTTGCCAGAGGCCTCCTGTGGACAAGAATAGAGGGGGATGGAGACGGAGACGTCCCTCCAAGCCAAGCCCAAGTTCTCCTTCAGGAAGAAGCTACCGGGGTTTCCACCTATGCCTTCCTCTGGCCAAGCGTCTGTCCAGCCACCTCCTGGATGTCCTGGCCTCGGTTCCGGTCTTCTCAGGTCACAGACCTGGGGACAGCCCTTTTGGGTCCTCGCCACCTTGACCTTCTCCTCTCATCTTTGCTTTCTCTCCACCAACTTGCCTTCCCCGCTGCCCACAAAGGCTCCTTCTTTCAGTATTTCCAGGCCTCGGCACACACCGTGCTTCCTACCCTGGGCACACCTTCCCTCTCCCTATGAACTCATATTGCTCCAGCAAAGCCTCAACCCCTTCCTCCAGGTAGTCTCCACTCCCTGAGCTCCTCCCTCAGCCTGGGAGTTACAGGAGGGCTGGGCGCAGGGGTCGGGCACTGGAGAACACGATGAAGAATTAAGTAGAAAATGCCGCAGCATAAAAGGAGAAGTGCACGTGAGCATGCCCACGCGGGGGGGGGGGTGTCCACGTGCGGCGCCCTCAGGTACGCCCCCTCTTCCGTCCGGGCCACACCGCAGCCGTCAGGCCTAGGTTGCATTTCCCGCCCCCCAGCTTGCGGGTGCGCAGGGAGAAAGGAGGGGCTGCTGTGCTTCCTGGCTCGCGCTTGCGCATTCGATCCAGCTGGGCTGAAGTCCCGACTCCAGGTGACTACGGACGCTACTATTGGCCTTTGAAAATAGAGAACGGCGTGTCCGCCAATGAGACTTCCCCGAGGGTGGGCGGGGCCTGGACCTCCCCACTAGGTGACGGGGGTGGGCGCGCCCTCCCCGCAGTGACGTCAGGCTCCTTTCGTGATGCGTTGCCCTGGAAACCGCGTTTCCATCTCCGCGGGTTTCCGGGGGCCGCCCCCTCCCATTCAGTTTTTTCCTCAATGGGGGAGAAAGCGGTGCAGGGCCAACTCCGCCCCCTGCGAGCCTGGTAACCCCCTGCGCGTTTTGTGCCTCAGTTTACCTCTTCGCTCCTCCAACTCAACGCATGGCCACCACTTGCTTCACCGGGCCGAGCACCTCCCTGGGCAAGTGTGTGTAGGCGCTGGGGTCGTGCAGGGTGCACGGAGGGCTGGGGTTTTTTCTCTAGGACTCCTAGAGATCTCTCTCACGCCCTCCGGGAGTTTATTCCTCAGAGCCCCAGAATACAGCCAGACCTGGGCCTCCACCCCCAAGGCAGGCCCTGTCCCCCACTCCCCAAGGCATGGCCTTGACTCCCTTGGGGCCTCAGGCTGGCGGAGTCAGCATGCTAGGGGGCGGTTCCTGGATTGTAGGTACAAACATCTCCTGTGAATCAGCAGGCCCATTGTGGCATCCTTCTTCCTCATCCTCTCAGTCCTGGGCGGCAGGTGATGGCCAGGGTGACGCTCCTGACTCGTGGGGCTGGGGCTGCTGTTCCTCCTGAGCCTTCCCTTTGCACCTCCACCCCGTGGCCTCCAACTTGGGCGTGGGGGGAAGAGGACTTTTCACCACGACCTTGAGGCCTGGGGATGGGCTGACAGGGCATCTGCCTTCCTGCCCTGGGTGTGGGATGATCTGGGGACTGAGTGGTGGGAAGGGCAAAAGGTCCAGGAAGATGTGTCCTAGGCCACCCTGTAAAAGGGACCTGCCCCTCCCCCCTGGGGGTTCTTGGATCAGGGCTGGGGAGGGCAGAAGCTTGGCCATGTGCACCTGGAGGAGGGTAAGGGGTCACAATTAAAAAAAAACTCCTCTCACCCTCTTGGCCAAGTGCTGTTTCTGGACCTCTTTTCTCTATAAAGTAGGAGTATAACTACTTCTAACTCACAGCTTGCCGTGCTTCTTAAATGAGGAAATGCATGTGAAAGATTAGGTGTGGGATGATTGCTCCCTCTGCCCAGCCCCAAAAGACATAAAGATGGAACCCCAGAGAACCTTAGCTGGGTCCTTGGGGAGCCCAAGGCTGGCAGAGGGGAAGACAGAAGGTCAGGGAGGGGTGGGAGGGGCATTCTGGGGGAAGTTCCTAGGCTGAGTATGGGGCAGCCAGGAAAGAGGTGTTCCTGCTAGGGCCTTTGTTAAGGCCAGGGCCAGAGGTTTGATAATACAACACTAGGGTGTGGCCATAGGGGCCAAGAGGTCATCCTGGGCTGGGTCTTGGCCTGCAGCACACCTGACTAGTTACCCAGGTGAGGCCTGGGGCTGTAGGAAGTCTAGCTCCCTGGGAACAGTGGCTCACACTGGTGCTTATCCCTGGGCAGTCTCCATGATCAGCAAACCAGTGGTGAGACTCCAGGAGAAGGTTCTGGCAGGGCTGGAGCCACTAGTGTCGGGGTCAAACTCAGGTCTCCCTAGATACAGACTCCCAAGTCCTGTTCCCATTACCCACTGCAGAACTGAGAGGAGCAGGGTCCCTGCACTGGGTAGGTAGCAATGGGCAAGCAGGTCCATGCCCACACCCTGAGGGACTTCCGGCCCTGGGTACCAGGAAGTGGCCGGCTCCTCCCTTCACTGCCCTAGTGGCTTCCTGCCTACCCCAGAGCTGGGGAGAGGGTGTGAGAACCAGGAAGGATGCCAGGGCCCCCCCGCCCCCCACTGACAGGCAGAACCAGACTCTGTTTCCTTCTGTTTATTACTTGAAGTCCCGGTGCTTGTGCAGGTCTTTTCAATTTGTTTCATACAGGAGACTCACGCGGGGCGGCACTCCCACAGCCCCATCTCCAGGGCAGGTAATGCTTGCTTGGGGGGCCCTGGGAGGGCACAGGGCTATGGGCCGTTTCCTGCCTGGGGCCTCCACCCTCAGACCCGCAGAGGCACAGACATTATTTAAAAATTGTTAAAAAACAAAACAGAACACACATTTAAATAGGTATCCAAGACAGTTCTTCAAAAAACAAAATGTACCCCTCCCTTCTCCTCTTTTTTTCTTTTTTCTTTTTTTGGAAAAAACAAAAATAAAAACAAACCAAATCCGTGACCTCTACCCTCTGGGACCCCTCCCTACCCACCCACCCCCCACAAAAAAATTTACAGCTACAGTTAACACGTGATGTTCACATCTGAAACCATTAACTTTGAACACAGGAAGGGACAAGGACCTGGGGTCTCACCTACAGAACAAGGGTGGACAGGCGGCCAGGACTAGACTGACAGGTGGGGGCAGCAGGGCCAAAACACCCCGTCACTAAAAAAATAAAAAATGTGGGAAAACCAAAAATCCACCCCCTTTGAAATGGCCCCAGCAAGGGGTTTCTCCCTCAGTCCCTAGGGCCAGAGACCTGCCGGGCCTGGGCGCTGAGTGGGGAGGGTCCCAGTTAGACCAGCAGCGGACCCCAGGGGGGTTAATGCTACACTTGCCCCCACCAGGGCATTCACAGCTCAGCACCCCCTCCCCATGCTGGGCAGGAGAGGCCCCAGCAGTCCACAGTCCCACATCCCTCAGGTTGGGCTGGAAGGAAGGCGTGGGGGTGCCCCCCACCCACCACCATTTCTCTCCCAGTTCTTCAAGCTCCCAACCACTATTGGCTCAGTCAGAAAATTAATAGTCTATAAATAGTCCCCAAGCTCAGGAGGGAGGTCAGGGCAAGGGGTGGGGCAGAACAGCACGGCTGTGGCCAGTCACTGGAGAGGGCGGGTGGGCTCTTCCCTGTCTGCTTTCCAGCCAGGAAAGTCTCGAGGCCCGGCCCAGACCCAGCGCAGCCCCTGGCCAGACCCATGCTGAACCAGCTTCACATGGAGAAAGACCAAGAGGGAAAGGGCAGAGGTGGAAGAGAGACAGTCCCCTGTGGCTTCGCTCCCCGGGACACTGGGTCCCGTCTGTCTGGGTCCTGCTGGCCCGGGGTGCAGGCCAAAGTCTGCAGTGGGGGTGGGATGGACTCTCCTCTTCACAGCCCCTCCCCTATCTGTAAAGTGCATCATGAGGCATCTACTTTTTTTGACTTAAACCTGAATAGGGTGGGGGGAGGTGAGGGTGGGAGGGGAGGAAGGCAGAGCGGAAGGGGTGGGGGCGGCTTCCGTCTCCCTCTCTCAGCCATCTGGAAAGGCTGCTACATATTTGGAGCTGGGGAAGGTGGGAGGGGAGGACCCAGCAGAGAGGCTGGGGATGGCGAAGGAGGAAGAGGTGGGCATGGTTCTAGAGAAGCAGGAGGTGCCATCAGGGTGAGGCTGTGAAAAAGAAAGGCTGGGGGTGGGCGGGGAGGTGGCCGCCTGCCCTCCAGAGCTGAGCTGTGGCTCTGGGGGTCTGGGCTGCCCGGGCAAGGCCACGGGGCGAGGGTGCCAGATCCTAGGCCACCACGAACTCCGACTGGATGTCAGGGTTGACCTCTGGCTTCCACACCGAGTCCTCAAAGTCGAGGCCCAGGCCCGCAGCCTCGCCGGTGCTGCCGCCTCCTGCACTGCTGCTGCTGTCACTGCGTCCGGCCTTCCGGGTGGGTGGCCAGTGGTAGGGGCCGCGGGCATCCCGCCGGGCCTTCCTGCGCAGCCTCTTCTGCTGCAGTAGGAGCTGCAGCCGCTCCACCTTGCAGCGCGTGGCTCGGTTCTCAGTCTGCCGGAGTCGGTCCCCTGCAGAGGGTTAGCATCCTGTGGTTACTAAGGTCCAGGCCCCCCAGGTGTGCTGTGGCCTGGGGGCCAGGGCTCTGATGGGGAGGGCTCTGCACTTAGGTAAGAGTCACTCAGGGACCCAACTAGAACTTGAATGCCTGTGGCTGCATCTGTGGCCCAGGAAAACACTGTGCTCATGCCTCAGTTTCCAGTTTTTATTCCCAGGGCTGTGGAGACTGACTGATGGCCAGAATGCCCGATGGGCAGAACAGTGGCCAGGATTCATGGAATTTTGATGGGGAGTAAACCAGCCGCTGGGAAACAGTGGGTGGGGGGCGGTGATTAGGGGGGCTCCTTGCTTTCCCAAGTCCTCAACGCTGGGGGCCCTTTGGCCCTGCCTCGCCTGCCAGAACTGAGTCATTCATGCAGGCGCCAAACACCATCTGGACCGGGTGCCTGGGGGGCGAGGAGGAAGCGGGGCCGGAGCCCCCTTGGGAGCACACAAGGACACTTTGTGCCCCGACACACACACGGCTCCTTCTCTCCTGGCTGGGCGGAGCTGGGGGGTCCGGCAGCTGCTGGCCCTTGGACCCCCAGGCAGGTCAGCTGCTGCCTGTGCCCACCAGCACACAGAGGGGCCTTGAGAGTCGGCACTCACCAGGGGGCTTGCACATGCGGATCTGGCTCTGACCCTGCAGCAAGGAGGCCGGGGGCACTGCCGCCAGCTTCTCGCAGGAGGTAGTTTTAGGGGCGAGGTCAGGGGCTGGCGAGGCAGGCGAGCACTGGGCGTGGCAGCGGAGCTGGGTCAGCGAGGGGGGCATGCCCTGGTAGTGCCTTGTGGCGCTCAGGAGGTCATTGAGGATCTGCAGGATGGTGCCAATGTCCCGCCGTGGCCGCCCACTGCTGTCCTGGCAGTTGGGATGCAGCGTGCCTGCAGGGGAAAGTGGCTTTGAGCTGGCAGGATGCCCCCAGGCACCTGTGTTCAGGCATGAGGTGGGTCTTGGGGTCAGGTCACCTGACCTGCCCAGGGACAGGCACTTGTATGCCTGGAGGTTCCTGGGGAAGGGGGAGGCGCGTGCAGCACTCTCAGCCCCGTGTGACTGTCACGGTGGGCGTGGATGTGACTGCACGGGTACGTGAAGTTGGGCATACACAGCCTCGTGTGACATGACACCTACCAGAGAAGGTCCCTGAGAAGACCCCTGGGGCATGGTTCACGAAGCTCTCAATGACGGCGCCGGGTTTACGGGATCGGGGAGTAGGGCTGCCCCCTGGGGTGGACGCAGTGCTGGCCCCAGGGCTGACACTGCTGCTGGCAGCAGGGGAGCAATCCATCTGCTGGTAGGAGGAAGCATACAGGCACGGGGCCCAGGTCAGGTGCCAGAGCTGACCCACAGGATGCCTCTGGGGGCAGAGCCCTGTGGTCTCCAAGCCCATCCCTTCAGGTTCCAAAGACACCCCTCCCCATTCTCACCTCAGGGCAGGTGGAGGCTGCGTGGGATCGGAAGGAGCCAGCTGTGACAGGTGAGGGGGATGTAGGAGGGCTGGTGGGCACTGGGGGGACACGGGCAGCACTGGACACTGGCCGGCAGGAAGAGGACACCGGGGTAGCTAAGCTGGGGTCTCCACGGGCGGCGGCGGCGGCAGCAGCGAGCACGTGCCTGTGTTGCAGGGGGGCGTGCTGGGCGGCCAACTGCAGCTGGACGAACATCATGTGGTCTCCCACGCGAAGAGCCAGGGTCAGTGGTGAGCGACCAGACAAGAAGTCACTGACCTGCCAAAAGAGGGACCCTTCAGCTGGGGGGCCCTTGTCTGTGGCGCCCCCAGCCCAGCCCAGCCCAGCCCCCCTCATCGTGTGACCTGGGGCCTCTCGCCGCCCCTCTCTGGGCTCTGGGGTCCCTGTCGGTGCCACGGACGCTTAAATAAAATGAATCTGTATTTCCGGAAGCCGCCTCCGCCAGCCCGGCCCGGCCCAGGCACTGCTGAGGGCTGTGGGGGACAGAGGCGGGTCAGACGGGGGCCTGGCCCTCCCTGGCCAACTTGGTTCTTTCAAGGGGAAACTGAGGTCAGAGGGGGTGGGGCCCAGCTGGCGGTCACTGCCCTCAAATAACCCTCACCTCATCTCCTTCCCCATCCTCCTGGATCCCCAAACCCTTTCTTCCTGAGAATGTGGGAGAGGGGCGGGTCTCAGGGCCCCTCCTAGCTAAATCACCCAGCCAGTGAGTGGGCGGAATTCCTGGACAATCCTTCCTCCTAACCTTTGCTTTCTCAAGATAAATATTTATCTGTCCTGGGCGGGGTGGAGGCCAAGGGGGCCTAAAGAGGTCCCCAGAGCCTATGTCCCCAGGGCCCTCAACACACCCTGGTGACCAGGAACCCTCAGACCTGCCCCTCTGTGGCGGTGGACTCATGAGTAAGTGTATCTGACCCTATCTACAACAAACCCCCTTCTGGGGCCTGGCCCAGAGCCTTTTTCTCCCCAGGGACAGGGATGGGGGGGCGGAGGTTTCTGAGAAGTGACATAGACTGGATGACTCAGAGCCGACCGCCTCCCAGAACTCCCTCCCTGCTCTTCTGGCAGTGGCTGGCTGGCGCAATCCTCTCTGCTGGGGGCTGAGGAGGGGGAGAGGAGGCAGGGCACAGCCCCACCCTGACCAGTCTGCACAGCACCCTCTGCTCAAGACCCCTGGCAGGCAGGGCCCTGGGGTGGCTTCCCAGAGCAGCTGGAGCCCCCTAGCTCTGCCCGCCCAGCAACTTCCTCCCTGGGGAGGGCGAATGGGCGGGCATGATTTGGTGCCAGGCAGGGAAGCAGCCCGGGGAGCCCAGTCACTCGCCCAGTGCCCCCCCATCTCCCTCCTGACGCAGGCACCCAGGGAGGATGTGAACCAATCATGCCCGGCCCCCCTGCCAACCCAACCAACCGCAGCCCCCATCAGGTTGCAGGGAGCAGTTCACACTTGCCCCAGGAAATCACCTGCAGCCTCCACCCCGGCCCCCAGCCCCTGTTACCCCCATCCCACAGCCACCCCCATGATGGCAGACCACCAGCAGCTCCTAGCCCCTCAGCCCCCCTCCTCTGTGCTGCTTGAAAGGCAGGATGCTACGTGTCAAGAAGGGGGCGAGGGCCTTGGGGCAGCAGGAGGGAAGACCAAAGCCGCCGAGCAGGTTTCCTGTGGCCAGACCGGGGAGGCCCGGGAACCTGCCCACCCCCTTGCTGGGGCGGGCAGTAGCCTGCTCCCCCACCCTGGCAGCTTGCTGAGGCCTGTGTCACCCTGCTGGGAGGTGGCCAGGGCCCTTTTCTGGGGAGTGCCCAGCCTCAGCCAAGAAAATGAGGATAGGAGGAGGGGGAAAAGGCCTGGGCAAGACCTGGAGCCAGACTCAGGCCGCCCCAGCCCACCTCCTGGCTGCCTACTAAACGTTTCCCAACATCCTGTGGAGGCCTCCCTGGCCCCGGGCTGCCTGCCCCTGGCCCCCCCCCTTGGGGCAGAGAACAAAGGCCAGAGAGAGGAAGGGGGGGTGCTGTGGTGACTCCCCACCCCCTTGCAATGGGGGTCAGGAAAGCGGAAGGAGTGTCACCCTGGCTGGCCACCACTCTGCACCACAGCACAAATGTTAAAAAAAGAAACTGGCCCATCCCTTTGGGAAAGCCTCACTGGCTTGGGGACTGGGTCTCTGGAAGGGGAGGGACCTAATGCTAGGCTGGAGACAGGCTCTGAGTGAGCTCTGGGCCAAGGTCATCCCTCAGGCAGACAGGCTCAGAGAAACTCAGCCCCTTCCCCCTCATGGCAGCCACCGTGGGAGAGAACCTCAAGGTCAGGTGGCGAGTGGGGGGCAGGAAGAGGAAGCAAGGTGACCAGGCCAAGCTGGCACCAGGCAGGTGTCCCTCCCCACCCCCACAGGCCTCTGGGGAGCACAGACAACCCAGGCTCTCTGGGATGGCCTGCCTGCAGATTAGGAAGGGGCTGGCGCAGGTCTTACCTGGGTCTCTGTGAGGCTCTCTAGGGCTTGCATGACAGACTGCTCCGGCCTTGAGGCCTGGGACTACAAAGAGAGGAAGGAGGACCCCGCCTAAGTGTGGGTTTGGCACAGTGGGTTTGAGCAGGGGTGGGGAGGGCCCTGCAGGCTGGGGTGGACTGCCCTACAGGGGAGGAGGCTGTGCACTGGCAGTGATGGTGGACAGCCCACCACCGTCTGTGTGTGTGGGAGCAGGGTCTGAGGTCTGTAGGGCCTCCAGGACACACCGCCCACAGCCATTTACCATGAGGCCCGCTTCCACGGTGGGCACCAAAGTCAGCTTGCTGCCATCCCCCACGCCAAACTCCTGCAGCTTCCCCGAACTGAGCCGGCTGCGGGGAGGAAGGAAGACGGTGAGACGGCAGAGACAACACTGGGACGCGGAAGCAGCGGCCGCGGGGGAGGAGGGCTGTGTGTGTGCCGCAGGGAGGGGGGGGAGGGGAATGAGAGACAGGAGTCCTTTCTGCCTCCACCCGTTCCCAGCTTCCAGATCCCGGTGGCGCGTGTGGGGAGATTCCTTGGCCTTGGGAGCTCCCATCCTGGAAGCTCAGATCTCCCACGATCCCCATCTTCCGACTGGGGCACCCCTTCTGCTGCTCAACAAGGCACTTTCGCATCAACTGGGCACTCATATGCCCTTTGCCACAATCCTCCGCACCCCTCAGGGCAACCCCTGCCTAGGATTCACTAACTCTTGCCCAGGCCTCTCTTTATAGGAACCGAGGGCCTTCAGCTCTGGGTGAAGCCTTGGGGGGCTGCTTGGGGCGAGGCTACCCCTCCATCCCCTCCCTGGCGCAGGCCGCCGCCGCTCAGACAAAGGAGACCCTCCTCCTCCCGCCCCTCCCCCACCGGGGCCCCTCCGCTGGGGATGGACATTGCCTGTCCCCGGAGGCCCGCGGTGGGGGGGGGGACTGCCGGGCCTGGAGACGATTTAAATACCAGGAGGGAGGGGGAGGCTGCAGGGAGCGCTGAGAGTCGAGAACAAAGGGGGGCAGAGACACAAGGTGGGGGAGACAGCCAGGAGTAGAGGGGGCAGCTGAGCAGATACGGAAGCTGGTGAGGACACAAGCGAAAGAGAGAATGGCTGTGGCTCCCACTCTCGTAGCTGAGACCTCCGTGTTGCCCCAGGACGCCTGCTTCCACCGAGGGGAGGCAAGGAAACCCCTCTGGGCACTCTCGCCTCGGCTTTTGTGCGGCGACCCCCGGCGAGGGAGGAGGCCGAGGCAGTCGAGGCCGAGCAGAGGGCGCCCGAGAGCGCGCAGCGCCCCCCCTCCAGTCTGGCCGCCCCCTGCTTCCTTGCGCGGCGCGCTCTTTGTTCCCGCCCGGGGGCCCGAGCCCGAGGGGGCGGCCCGGCGCCGGGGGCGCACGGGCGGGGGCGGCGCGCGGTACCTACGTGTCTTTGTGGAGCAGCGCCAAGCGCTCCTTGGGCACTTTGAGTCGCTGGGACAGCCGTTTGCGCAGCCCTTCCACTGTCTCGTCCGGCGGCACCGACAAGTCGTAACGGGTCCCGGTCGTGCTGTGGATGGCCAGGCTCATGGGCGCCGCCTCGGCCGCAGGGCCCAGCTCGCAGGCGCCGCCGGGGGCACCGCGCCGGCAGCTCCGGGCGCCGCCGGGCTGCGGCTCCATCCCCGGCGCGCGCTGGGGGGGCTGGGGTCCGCGGGGTGCCGCCAATCCTCGCCGCGTCCACAGGGCCGGGGCGGGAACTCCCCGGATTTGTGTTCCTTTCTCCCGGCGCTGGGGGCTGGAGGAGGGGGCGGCACGCGTGACCCTGAAGATCCCAGTGGTGGAAGGCTGATCAGCAATAAAGAATCCGAGAGGCGTTCCGGGGTCGATCGCGTCGGCTTTTCGGGGCGCGCTCCGGGTTGGGGTCTGCGATAGAGGCTTCTTCAAGAGTGAGAAGGGATGGGGGGCGGCCGGGACGCGGCGCGGGGAGGGTCCTGGAGGAGGGGGTTCCTTGGCCGTGTGCGCTCTATGCCTCTGCAGTTCGGGTCGCGCTACCTCAAGCGTCCCCTCCCTTAGCAACAGCCGCCGCAGCCGCGGCTCACAGGATCTGGGGGTGAAAGTAACAAGAAAAAAAAAGTTATAATGTATCAACGTTTCAAGGGGCGGGGCTGCCGCCCCCTCCCATTCACTACTTACTCCGCCGGCCCCGTGCCGACCAATCAGCACGAACCGAACGCCCAGTCGGCCGCGCTCCTTAGCCAATGGGAACCGCCGCGGCGCTGCCCCACGTGGCAGTACGCCCAACCCTTCGCCCTGCCCCCGCTGCCTGGGCAACCAATGGGAGCGCGGCGGGGGTGGGGCTGGCACCGCTCCGGTTCCGCCCCCGCGCCCCCGCCTGCGCCCCCAGCCATTCATAAGGCTCGGAGTCCGCAACAAAGGGCGGGCGGGCCCGAGGGGCGCGGGCTCGGGCCCGGGTTTAGGCTTCCTCCCCCACTGGTCCTCGCGGGAGCCGCCAGGGCGTGGGGAGGGGGCGAGGGCCATTGTTCCCGGCGCCGGGAGGGGCAGGAAATTGTGGGGCCGCCCCACAGCGTCCGTCCGGGAAGCAGCCGCCAGCGGAAGCGGGAGCCTGAACCCCGCGCCTCGTGGCAGGGTTCCCAGGCCCAGCGGCCCGCCGGGACCCGCCAGTCCCCTGTCCTGCCCCTTCCTGGGTGGGTGCGGAGAACTGGGCGTGGCCAGGGAGTAGGCCTGTCACCTCGGTGACGTGGCCGCAGTCTGGTGTACCCCTCTCGAACCGGTACTACCTCGCGTTCTGGTGCCCTCCTCCCAATTCCCTCGGCCCCGGCCCGTTTCCCGAGACGCGCCCTCCCGAGCCGTGACGTGACGCGACGCGGCGTCCCGGGCTGCGCCCGAGCGTAGCGCTGGATGCTGCGGTGAGTCAGCAGCGTCAGAGCGCCCTCTGCCGGCCCTCCCGGGAACGCTGCGCCAAGTCCCGGGGGAGGGGGCTCTACGGAGCCTGGACAGGATAATGGACACCGAGACTGCGAGTCTGCAGGTGACCGCGATAAGGGACCGAGCGTACTACGTGCGGAGAATAGAACTGCAATCTGAGAAACTGAAACCGGAGCAGCAACTAGTTCAAGGTCACTCGCGGGGAAAGGGGAGTGCCCGGGGGGGCGGGGCGGGGGTTGTGGTCCCGCCCGGGCGATGCCTCTTGCTAGGAGCCCCTCCTACTCCACAACCGGGTGGGCTTCCCAGGCCGGGGGCATCTGAAGCCCTGTCGGCCCCAAGAACAAAGAAAAGTAGGGGCGACCAGGTAGTATAAAGTAGATACCCCTCTCCAAACAGCGAGGTCCCGCCCCCCACTCACCGGGCGTGGCCTGTCCTGTGTCCTACAGTTCCGAGTGAACCCACGCGGGAGGCCTTGTATCAAGTGCCCGGGCCAGTCTGGGGCCGAGCGGGCGGCCCCCGAGCCTTTATCTGCGCCGCCTTCCCTCGGGGTGGAGTTTGGGCGGGTAGGGGGCGGGGGGGGCCTGGCGGGCGGTGACGCAGCTGGCCCCCGCCCCTGCCTGCTGACCGAGGCCCCCGGGCGCAGTCGTACCGGGACACCGGCCTCCAGGCTTCTCTCTGTAAATGGGTGTTTCTCCTGGAATGCCACTGAGCAGGGGGCCAGGGCCATGAACTCTGCACACCCGTAGGCTGGCTTTTGGGGCGAACAGACGGGCTTCCTGCCCCGCCCCCTTTCCGACGGCCAGGACCGGGTGCTTCCGCCTGGGGGCGCCCGCGTGGGGGAGAACGGGAAGAGGTGCCTGAGTCAGCGGCCAGGATCCAGGAAAACAGGCCAGTCACCTGCTAAGCAGTGGGGTGCTCGGGCCAGCTGCCTGGCAGCTTGGCCGCCAGCATCTCTCAACGGTGACCTCAGAAGGCATTTCTGGAGCGATTATCCAGCGTCAGGCTCACCTTGGACCCAGTTGGTCACCCCTGGCTGTGTTGTGTGAGCTCAGTGAGAAACTGACCTCTCTGAGCCTGTTTCTACAGGATGTCTTAGACAGTGAGATATGAGAGTCCAGCGGCTTACTCTGGGCGCTGGAGTTGTAGGGACAACATATTGCCATTGTTCCAAGAATACATGCACACATGCTTGCCCTAGCCTTTGTAAAGGTGGGCATTCATCCATTTCACGGATAAGGAACCTGGCCACCCAGCAGAACAAACGGAGTGTTGCTCGTCTGCAGATTCTCCATGGATGCCCTGGCCGGTAGCTTTGAAGCCCTCTGTTCTGCTCCCTCTGCCCTTGCAGGGAAGGGAGACCCCAGGCTCCACCCCATCACCTCTGTCCAGTTATCTGTTTCCTTCCTTATCTGGCTTCTCCACCTCCCCCTCATCCACCCCTCCCAGGGCCGTTGCTTTGCAGGTTTCCCTCCATTTCCCACCCAACTCTCCCTTGGCCTCAGCCTCCCCTAACACACAAACTGGGCACAGCCAGACACTCCCAGCCCTGCAGGATCAGAGCTGGTCTAGAGGCAAAGCTGGGAGGACCTTTGAAAAGTAGTCCTGGAGCTGAGTTTTAAAAGATGAATAGGAGTTTGTCTCACAAGAAAGATGCTCAGGGAATGGGAACAGCTTAGCATGGTCCCAGAAGCCACTGCATGCCCAGGGAAACGGGGCTGAATTGGAGGAGGGAGGCAAGGCTGGGTCAGGGAGCTGGCCCTAGGACCTTTTGGTGGCAGAGGAAGTGGGGACCCTGGAAATCAGGGCCCATTGTGTCGGTGTATCCCTGGCCCCATTAACCTTATTCCCACCCTCCCTACCATGGGTGGGCAGTTGGGGGGTTGCTGGTGGGGTAGACGGGTTTCTGCCCGCCTGGTGGTGACACTGCCACCCGAATGCTGTAGGACCTCAGGCCAGTAGGGAATGGAATCAGACACACAGGGATTGTGTTGAGGCACTCAGCCTGGAAAAGAGAAAGGTCCTTTGGGAATAAGATACTTTGTGCTGTTCCAAATTTTATAAAGGCCGGCATTCTACTTCCTGACTTTCCTTCCCATGTGGTGCCCCTGTCCCTGCGTCCTTTGTCCCAGGAATCCCTGAAGCACTGAGTGTACACTTTCTAGGTAGGAGACAGACCCATGTTCTGACCTGTCCCTATCAGGCCAGACCCTACCACTGTGAAAGGATCTTTACCTCTACATTCTGACTCTACCCTGCTTGTCCCCCAAGCCTGGCTCTAAGGTGTATTCTACCTCATGTGGGGAAGGGGTTCTGCTGGTGAGGGGTATACTAGCTTTCTGCTGAGCCCCTGCTGGGCCCCAGCTATCTTTGGTGTTGCATGAGGCATGCTGGTGGCCCATCAGGACCTGAGCAGGAAATGGCTGGGGTCTGGGCAGGGAAGACACACATATGACCTCATGGCCAGCACAAGGTTCCCAAGTTACTAGGGAGTGGCTAGCTCCTTGCCCCCAAAGAACAAGACATAGATGGATGCCAAGGCCCGCCCACTGACCCTCACACCAGGGCCCAGAGCATGCCAGGAGGCCCCAACCCACCAAGTTCAGACATGACGTGGAGTCACTTGCACGAGGCTGTGACACACTGTGAGCTGCCCCTGTACTGACAGGCCACAGATGACTTCCCTGTCACTACTGTGGCTGCGATGACATGAGCAGGCCCTGACTCTCCATATGCTCACCCTGCACTCCCCTCCCTATCCTACTGAGAGAGCATGTGGGATGCTGAGACCCCTGCCCCACAGTTGCCAGGCAAGCACTGGGTCAGTCCCCCAGGGTTTCAGAGCGGGTGGGGCAGCACCCTGGCAGGACAGTGCTAGATCCACCCCCTTCTGGGTCAGCTCCACTCTGAAGCCAGTTAGGAGCCTGGATGCCCACAGAAGTGCTGACACCACCCAGATTGGGCAGCTGGCCAGGCCAGGGCCACCCATAGGATGGGTGTGCCCAGAGTGGGACCTCTGTGGGAGCAGGTAGGGCCAGCCTCTTCCTAGGGCCCTGCAGCAGGAAGGCTTGGAGTTGATGGTGGATCACAGCACTGGGCCTGAAGACCCAGAACCTGGCAGAGGCCTGGGGAACCTGTCCCCTAGTTCAAGCCTGATCCCCCAAGAGCTCCCTCCCTCCCTATCCTGGTGGTCAACCTCTGCCTATTCCCACCCTCTTCGGGTGAAGGTTGGCACCTTGCCCACCCCCACCCAGCCAGGCAGGCTGTGCCCTTTTGAGTTGACCCACACACAACCAATGTTCCCAAGCCTCTGTTTACTGAGTATCCTCAAGGGATTATTTCCTTAGGTTCAGACATGCATTTCACAGAGCCACAGGAAACACTCAGGATGAACTAAGGAGGACCCTGACCCCACAGCCTTAAGCAGAGCAACAGAACCAGTGCACAGTCAGGCTTCCTGGCCTTTAATGTGGGCAGGGGCTGGGGAGCATCAATGTCTCAGGCTCTGCAGGGGCAGGGGTGGTGAGTCGTTGGCCCATTAGGATGGGGGGACTTGGCAAGAAGAGCCTACAGGGTTACAGACCCCACATCAGGCCTGCCAAAGCTGCTGAGGGCTGTAGTGGCCCCAGGTATAACCTGAGGGGCAGGCCTGAGAGCCTGGGCAGAGCCAGCACCACTACCCCCTGGTGGTCTCAGCAAGCGAATGACCAGGACCTCAAATTCCCTGCTGGTGAAGGGCATGCACCGCCTATTCCAGGGCTTTCACCAGGGCCTCATTGGCCTCGATTCGGATCTGGATCTCTGCCCGAGTGGCCTCATCTGCTGCCCCTGACAGCTCCGACTGGGCCTTCTCCAAGTTGGCCCTGGCGGCCTGCAGGAGGTGGGTAGGGGATGAAAGATGAGCCAGCATGCCAGTCCAGCACCTGCCCTTCCTCTGAGCTCCCTCCCCAGCAACCGGGGAACCCATGGACAGCTCCCACCTGCTCCAAGCTGCAGTGTCCACCCACTTCATACTCACCCCCAGGTCCAACATGTCCAGTGTCACAGCTTCTTCTGCCAGTAACTGCACTGAGGAGTCTGCATTAACTGTGATAGAACCGCTGCTCACTGCAGGGTGGAGGGGAGCAGGAGGGAAGGCCTGAGTCCACCACATCCATGCAGGCAGCCTCACCAACTCTCTGATAGGAGCTCCATAAACACCCAAGTCTGCATCCCAAGCATGCCAACAGCTGCTAGCCCAGGTGGTCCCATGGGACCAGTCCCAGGGCCCAGCACACCAGGTGGCTGAAGAGGAAGAAATACCCCAAGAGGATAGGAGACAGACCCAAGGACACTCATGACACCATAGAACTCTGCAGGGAAACCAAGGCCATCCCTTGAACCTACCAGCCCATAAGCTGAACCTGGGTCAAGGGCCACGTCAAATGCACTTCTGGCTTTGAATCCCAGTTCTACTCATGGTGACAACTGGTACTGGGGAAAGGCTTTCACAGACTCAACTCCTTTCTATGCAAACACATTTCCTTCCCTAAGCTGATTACCCCTCCCAACACAGCTATCCTCTTCCAGCACCTGTTCACCCATCCCCACTCCCACCCGAAGGAACAGGGCTACTTCAGAACTAAGTCGGCTTCCTGCTGCATTTCTGAGGATCACATCAGTGCCCATACCCATGACAAAAAAAAACCCACCAAACTTTGCTTTTCTTAGTTCAGACAGGCTGCCCAATGGAGACCCAAGGCCTCTACCCAGCGCCCCCCACAGACTAACCAAAGTATTTAGTAGTGCTGCCATCTTCTGCGTGAACCACGACCAGCCCTGGCCGTAGGACCTGCAGAGTGGGCACATGGGCTGCCAGAATGCCAAAGGCTCCAGTCAGCGTGGGCACGTCCACCTGCCGGACGTTGGCACCATTGAAGAACACCTGGAGAGAACAAAAGGAGCAAGCATGTGTCAACTGAACAGCCTCAGGAGCGGCCAAATACCTGACCTTCACTGCTCTGAAAAGCATCAGGGAAAGGTCGAGCCCTGAAGAGGTCACAAAGACTGTCCAAACTACCCGTGATCTTGGGGCAGTTTGTTCATCTGGAAGTAGGACTGTCTGCGACTGGGAAGCACCCGGTTCCTTTCCCAGAGAGAAGCATCCATGAAGGCTGGACAGGGAGGAGCCGGAGACAACTTAGTTTCGGGAGAAGAGAAAGCCTGGGAGCTGGGTGCAGGAGGGAGCCAAGGTGGGGGCGGGGTCCAGCTACCTGCCCGATGAAGGTGGGGCATTGGGCTCAGGAAGGGGCCGGGGTTCAGATTAAGAACCACAGCGAGAGCGCCAGGTCCAGCAACCCCACCGGCTCCGAGGGTGGGAGGGCTCAGCCTCGGGACCGCACGGAGGTGTGGGGACCTGAGTCCGGATCCAGGGAAACAGGTCGGCCACCGGTCAGCGGCCTGGGGATACGAAACTGGGGTGCCGACAGTAGGGGAGGGGGCGGGGCGGTCTTTAAAGGAAGTTAGGGCGCCCGAGGAGCAGGACAGTGGTCCTGCGACCCCGCGAGCTGGGGGAACCTCGGTCTCGGGGCCGCTCAGGAGTTGGGTGGGCGTGAGGGCCGGGAAGGAGGCCGGACCCCTGGGGCTGGAAGCGCAGGTGCCGGGTCGAACGGCGAGGGCGCGGGATCCGGACCTGCGTCGGGGAGGCGAAGGTGAAGGACATCTGACCCGGGCCGGCGGCGGGAGCCGGGGCGGCGGCAGCCTCAGCGAAGGCGCGCGCCTGGCGCACGAGGCGGCCCAAGCCCGCGCGGCGGAGCAGGGCGGAGGGAAGCATGGCGGCGGCGGCGGCAGACAGCGGATTTGGGCGGCTGGGACGGCCTGGAGGGCGAGAGGACGACGCGCAGGGCTTTCTGGGATCAGCAGTTCCGGCGAGTGCGCACGCGCGCACTACGACGCCCAACAGGCTGCGCGCGACGTCGGTGCTGAGACGTCACCGCCCGAGCGCGATGCTTGCTGGGGGCTGTAGTTTTCTTGAGGTGAGAGGCGATGAGGGCGATAAAACGATTCTCACGGGTAACTGCGCGGGGGAAAGGACAATTCAGCACCAAGATTGCTAAGGGGAGGCTCACTGCAAGGACATCTGAGAATCAGTTCCCCTATGCAGTGGGGGAGGGAGCGTTCAACAGGCGTTGACGTCGAAAGTAGGCAAATCAATAGTATGTCAGAAAATGACACGAACTGAAATAAACACGAACTGCATATGTGTAACTATAATGCACTAAAAATAAATCCATATCGCAAGCCGAGTGAAAGACTGAATGGGACAGTCACGAAGGCCTTATCTATACACGCAGTGCAGGTGCCAGGGAATGGCAGCCCAATAGGGTTGCAGCAGCGGACAGGCGGGCACACAGACGTCCGCAGAGGGCGCCCTGCGACCGGCGATGCGCTCGCCTCTCCCCCCTCTCCCCCCCGCCGCCCCCGCCCCCGCCTGGCCACCGCCCCCTCCCGCCACTGACGCAGGAGCGCGTGCGCGGGCGACTTGGATGCCCCGCTGACGTCAACCAGGTGCCGCGCAGCCTCGCTTGGGGCCATGACGTCACCGCCCCGCCCCCGCGCTCACGCAGGTCCTTGGCCCCCACCCTCCCACAAGATGCGGGGTAGGACTCATGCTGAGGAGGGTTTTTTCTAAGAGGCGGAGGGCTGGACTCCAGGGGCACTGGAAGCCCGAGAAGGTCGTGGTCGCGCCTGGTCAGGGATCTGGGGCTGGTACCCTAGTCCAGTGAGATCCAGCAACTAACGCTTTCCGTGGCTCCCCACACCCTAGAGCGAGCGTACGCCCTCGCTCATGCGAGAGTTCAGACCCTTTGGAGACCGGCTCCCCTGGACTTAAGAATCTGGGCAGTTGGAATACTTCGGAAGCCCCAGGCCAGCACCATGAGGAACTCTTAGAGCATCAATCCCCATGACCTAGACATTCTGACCCTGAGAGGAGGGTGCAGAGCGAAGCTTTCAACTCCCCTTCCCAAGTGCGTTTTGTCTGCACTTCTAAAGTTTCTTAGCCCCGGGTCTTCATAAGCCACCAACTACTTCATAATACAGGGAAAGGTTCTTCATAAGCCACCAACTACTTCATAATAAGGGGAAACGTAATGGGCTCCTCAAATCCAACCAGCTGATGACTTCTGTCCGGTCCCCACTCCTGGTATCCTATGGGTGAGGGCAGCACCATTATTTGGGGCCCAAACCTGGGAAGACATGAGAATTCCACCCTGTCTTTTCCTGTCCACCCAGTGGACCATTATCTCTGGCCCTAATTGCCCAGGCCTCCTCTCTGCCTCACCTCAGAGTCTGTTTAAAAATCTGAAACCTGCCGAGAGCTATGGCACACGCTGTAATCCCAGCGGCTCTGGAGGCTGAGGCAGGAGAATAGTGAGTTCAAAGGCAGAAAGCAAGGCGCTAAGCATATCCAGTGAGACCCTGTCTCTAAATAAAATAAAGAATTGCGGTGGGGATGTGGCTCAATAGCCAAGTGCCCCTGGGTTCAATCCCTGGTACGCCCCACCCCCCAAAAACCTCTGAAACCTGACCATGACCTTCCCCTACTGGGACCCACACCAGCACCTGTGGTCTCCTTTCTCGGTCGTCTGCAGACACACTTAACCTATTTCCAGGCCTTTGCTCATAGGGTTCAAGCTTGCCTGGGCATTTTCACACGGCTGCAACTCAGTAAGAGCATGCCCATTACCTCCTGTGTACCTGCCCTGTGCTGAGACTCTGTGCCTGGAGCTCCTAGGATTAGCGGGGAGACAATGCACAAGAGCAAATAGGATACTCAACTGTACTAGATGGAACCAGGGATCCAGACTGTGTGTGGCAGCTGCTGTCAGCAGAGGTAGCCAAGGGATGGGTCCTGAAATGTTGACATTTGGAAAAGCTGCAGACATAGAGTGTGTATGTGTGTAGGAGGGTGAATCTTTCAAGGACCCATGTGTGGGGGGCATTTGCAAATACAAAAGCTCTGAAGTTGAACAGGGCTTGACACATTCCAGAATAAGCTTTTTTTTTTTGGATGAAAGATGTCAGGTGTGGAGGGCAGGCCCTAGTAAGCTGGGAGGAGAGTCCACTTGACCAAGCTAGTGGCAGATTTGGTAGACTGAACAATTAAAAAGATCAGGCATATATGTCTGAAAGGAAGAACAAAGAGGCAGCTTTGAGGGTTGGCTGTTGGGGCTCCCAGTGCATGCAATTTACATGGTAGAGGCCCTTATTTTGATCCCCAGCACAAAAAAGTGGGGTTTCTGTTTATGTGTCACCCACAAGGCCTTGGTACAGTAGGGGAAACTCAGTTCAACTCTGAGCAGCTGTTATCATGTGCGCCATGAAGGGAGAACGGGGAAAATCTGCAAAGGAGGTATGGCAAGCTCTTGACAGTGCCCACAGGAACCTGTACAGGGGAAACTGGTGAGGGAAGTGCACCAGATCACCTGGCTGGTACATCCTGGGGACCCCCAGACTGGGGAAATTGTGTGTCACGAGAGACCATGGCTGTGTGCCTTCCATACTCCCAAGGGAGGAGCAAGATGGTCTGTCTGTGCACCCCAGGACTCCCTGGCCCACCAACTTGGGTTATCCCAGGTTAGACCAGGGGGAGTCCTGTGCCCAAGGGGAGGCTGTGCATCTCATATCCTCTGGTTTTGTTTCTTGGGACCTGGGGCATGGGGAGTCTGCACCCCAGGCCTCCGCGCTGGCGCCGTGTCCCCGAAAACCCCAGGACCCAGGGTAGATGAGTTATGCAGCGGTGCTGGGGCTGGTTGTCGGCCTCTGCGGGAAGAGGCAGCTGCACTGGGGGGTGGGGGCGGGGAACGGGAGCGCAGGCTCCGCCCCCCGCCCCCGCCGGAAGGGAAAGGGAGGCGGTGGCCGGCGCAGAACTAGCCAGACGCCGCGGCCAGAGCGGCGGGGGCGGTCGGCTGGGGACCCGGCTGCACCGGGCGTACCGAGTGGGCCGGAGCGGGAGCGCCGCCAACGCGGTCACGTGCACGGCCCCTCCTCTCGCGCCGGCCTCCCCCGCGCGCCGCGCTCTCCATTCATAAATTCTCCGCCGGCTCCGCGGCCACCAGGTGCCGGAGCCAGCCGGGAACGCCGCTCAGCCGCCGCCCGCAGCGCAGCCCGCAGCCCATGGGCCGCACGCCCCGGCGCTGAGGTAGGCGCGCCGGGCCGGGGCGGGCGGGGGCGGGCGGACCGCGCGCGCGGCCGGGATGGCGGCCGGCATCGGGGCGCGCCCGGGCTCCAGACCACCCGCCTTTTCCCGCATGATTGCGCCTGACGGGTGGGAGGACGCGGAGGAACTGGTTGGGCCTGGAGGCGGCCAGCGCGGCTCCGCACCTTCCCATCGTCTGGCGACCTGGAGAGGGACCCCGCCCACGCCCTTTCCCTGGCCTCAGTTTCCCCCGGTGAGGTCGGGTGAGGGCGATGGCACCTTGGCCTCCCCGCTTAGCCTGCCGTCAGGTTCTCTGCTGTCTAACCCCGGCCGGCTCGCGGTTAGGGCCAGGGACCGCCCGTGGGGACCTCCGCCTTGAGCTCTCATCCCCCCCAGCCCATCTCCTGCCTGCGGCTTGCAGCCATCTTCCGTGTCTCCTCCCATAACCATCCCTTCCTTCTGCCCCAGCTTCTCCAGCCTGAACTCCTTTCCCGACCTACATAAGCGCCCCCTCCCCCCAAATAGGCGATCCCCGTTCTAACTTATGACGGGGACCGCTGAGGACACCTGGTCTTGCCCGGCACCTTCCTTTCTCTGCGCCTGTTTCTCCGCGGTCCAGGGGATTAGAGCCGAAAGTGGCAAGCAACTCCGGAGCCTGCGCGCCCTTCTTCCTTGGGAAAAGGGGCTGGCGCGTGGCGTGCCGGCTTGGGGCCAGTATGAAAAGCGGGACTACCCTCGGTCCCTGAGCTTCACGGGTCCTTCCAGCCCCGGGGTGGGTCAGGTGCAATTTCCAGGCAGCCCCTTCCCGAGTGCTGACCATCCGCAGCCTCAGTTTCCCCCAAACGCGAGTAGCCATGGAGGCCGGTCCACTAGGCTGGTTTCTGCGGGCGCTGGCTGGTGGCGCAGCCATCTTGCCTCCGCGACTGGGGCGCCCCTGCAGGAGGCCTCCTCCCCCGCGCCCCCTTCCCGCCCTCCCTCTGCCTGGCAACCCGCCCCCCATCTCGGCCTGCGCACACCGTCACCATGGGAACAAGATTCTCGGGGCAGGAACAGATGTGCCTCCTTTGTCCTCTCCTTTCCCACCAGCATGGGCAGGGGGGACCTTTACCTCTTGTGTCGTGACTTGGGGGTCACTGGTGCAGCCATTCCGTGCCCCCAGAGGTGGGGGGTCCGCTTCAAGTTCCCCGCCTCATCTGCACTGCGCATCCTTAAGCCACCTTTTCCTCTCCCCAGAGGAGGGCCCTGGGTCTCACCGGGGTCTCCCCTGTGTGTGCTACATGCCTCACTTTCTCCGTGTCTTGAGGGGCACTTTCCTTTGCCTGGCAGGCCCCCACCTGCCCTACCTTGCTGGGCTGACCACGTTCCCTGGGGAGGCAGTTGTAATACACGCATGCACAATCCCACCTCCCAAGAGGTAAACGTGGCAAAATGGAGGTCCCTAGAGATGTCCTGCACTGGGCCCACCCAGCACTGGTCAGAGCAGGTGGGGGCTGCTGCAGGGCTCTGTTGCCTGCCCATGAGTCATTGGCCTGTGTGGGCTTCTGCTCCTGGGAGGGAAGAGGGGCCCTGTTTCTAGCAGCTCTGGTGGGAAGGGGCTATCCAGCTGGAGCTGAGGAGGCCCTGCCCTCCTGTCCCAGCCTTCACAATGCAGCCCACGGCCACCATGGCCACAGCCGCGGCCACCACCGCCACGGCTGCGCTGACGACATCGTGGGACAATGCCACCAGTCATCCCACGGTGGGTGACCTGGGGACGTGGGGTAGATGGGATGTCAGCCCAGTGATGTCAGCCCAGTGGCGGGACCCTGACACTCGCCTCTACATCTGCAGGCTGCGCCAGACCCCATACTGGACAACTATGTGCTGCTGGTGGTGGTCATGTCGCTGTTTGTCGGGGGCACTCTGGTGGTCTTGTCCGGTGTCCTGCTCTTGTGCAAGCGCTGCTGGGAGGTCCACCAACGCTTCAACAGGTATGTGTCCCCATTCCCAGGTGCTGGGAGCTGACTTACTTGCAGTTGGGGCCTCCAAGAATGGGTGCACAAGCTTGGGGCCCTGGGGCTGAGGTCACTGTCATTTTATATCCCGGCTCTACCTCCCCAGGGCCATGGAGGAAGCAGAGAAGACCACTACTACCTACCTGGACAATAGCACCCACCCTGCCCAAGGTGAGGGGTCCACCCACCTCTTCTCCCCCCACCTCTGGCCATTTGTCTGTCTGCCTACCCACCTGCCTGCCCGCCCCTCAGCCACTGCCTGCCCCCTCGGGCCGCCTGACCGTCTGTGTCTGTCTGTCTCCCCCACCAGACTGGGCGCAGCTCGATTCCGACTCATCTCTGTTTCCTTAACGCCCAGGCGTAGGTGCGCACACGCGTGCTGAGCGAGTGAGTGTGTGAGCGGATGAGCGAGTGCCCGCCCGGCCCGCCTCCCCAGCCCACCCTGTCCTTGGGTCACTCCACCCTGCGCCCCTTCCTGTCCCACCCTGCCCGGAGGCCCACCCAGGATGAAGCCTGGCCCACCCGGGGCCCACCCTCTTTGGCTCTCCTCGCAGACCCCGACTTCAGGGGGGAGGACCCCGAGGGCCAGGATGTGGAGACAGAGCGCTTCCTGTCCACCAGCTCCACGGGCCGCCGGGTCTCCTTCAACGAGGCTGCCCTGTTTGAACAGAGCCGGAAGGCACAGGACAAGGGCCGCAGGTGAGGGCCTGGCAGGGGGCTGCTGTCCAGGGAGGGCCTGCTAGTCAGCTGAGGGCGAGGGCCTCCTGTCTGTGGGGCCCAGCAGCATGCAGCAAGGGGCCTGGTGGGTGCTCCTCGCAGGTACACCCTGACAGAAGGGGACTTCCACCACCTCAAGAACGCCCGGCTCACCCATCTACACCTGCCACCCCTCAAGATCGTCACCATACATGAGTGTGATTCTGGCGAGGCCAGCGTGGCCACTACCCCCCACCCTGCCACCACCCCCAAAGATAGCCTGGCCATATTCCAGGTGAGGGAGGGGTGGCAGCCCACCCCAAGGCTGAGTGGCAAGGGGGCCTCTGAGGGTGATGAATGGTCTGCTGGGGTGGCTGGTGATGGTGAGGCTGAGCCCTCATGCCCCTTGCTGGCCACCTGTGCTCTTTGACCTGTTGCTGCTTCCTCCCCACCTGGCTCTGTCCCACAGCCCCCGGGGAAGGCCCTCACTGGCCGCTCTGTGGGCCCCAGCTCCGCCCTGCCAGGTGACCCCTACAACTCGGCCGCAGGCACTGCCGACTTTGCGGAGATCAGCCCCTCAGCATCCAGCGACTCTGGGGAAGGCACTTCGGTAGGGGCTCTCCTGTGTTTTCCCAGAGTGCCCAGAGAATGGGCTCCTGCCCTTCCCTGCTGTCCATTGGGACTGACCAGCCTGTGGCCTCTCACCTGCCATGGCCTTCCTGGCCTTGAATGGTCCTCACACCCAGGAGGAATGCCCAGGTGCTGGAGAGGGTACGGCCAGCCACCTCTAGCCCTGGGAAGAGAGCTAGCCACGCACCCTCAGAAATGCCTGTGTTGGAGGTCTTTGCCTGGGCAGGGGCAGAGCTGGCCTGAGGGAGGCAGGGTCTCAGAGGGAGGAGGCCACAGGCCACAACCCACCAAGGGCTCTGTCCTACCTTTTCAGGCAGGTTTCACCTCTCCATTTGGTGGGTCTGGGGTGTTGGGACACTCTGTCTTGGCAGGGGCTAAAATGCAGGGCCAAGAGGAGGGGAATATCCCTAAGAACTGTTCCTTTTCCCTCCCAGCTGGACATAGGTCCCAGGAGTGCCAAAGCTGGCGGGCCAGGGCCAGGGCCAGGGCCAGGGGCTGGGCCTGGGGCTGCAGCAGAGCCTGGGGAGGCAGGAGCAGGCTCTGGGGCAGGCACCATGCTGCAGTTCTTCACCCGCCTGCGCCGCCATGCCAGCCTGGATGGAGCCAGCCCCTACTTCAAGGTCAAGAAGTGGAAACTGGAGCCCAGTCAGCGAGCATCCAGTCTGGACACAAGAGGTGAGCCTCAGTTCCTGGTAGGCAGCAAGGCCCAGGAGGTGTGTTGGTAGGTAGTCATAGTGCAGAAAGCTCTGCCCCAGGGAGGTTCCTAGCTAAGCCATCAGCACTGTGGGCCAGGGGCTGGCAGGAGGACCCGGGGCCTGGCTTACTGTAGAGGGGCTGTCATGGTTCCAAGGTTCCCTGCACCCTGGCTAGTTGCCGTCTGGTGACACACAGGCCACCTGGCACAGAAGTTCTGAGGCAAGACCTCTGCCCAGCATTCCTCCCTGCATGCCCCAGGCCCTGTGCGCAGGCCCAGCTCTCAGCCAGAGGTACGGCGTGCTGTGGAGAGATCTTCTCGAGGGACTCCTCCCTGGGAAGAGTCCTTTCCCTTGTGGGACCCTGACTCCTTTGGTCGGGAGCAACGCGGCTGGACTAGGCCAGGATCAGCCAATGTTTCCTGTGAGGTCCTGGACTGTAGTGTTTGTGTCTTACGGCCAGATAGTTTTGTCTCAACTGCTCAGGCGCTACTGTAGCTAGGGAGCAGCCGGGGAAGAGTCAGTGAAGAGGAGTGCCAGTAAAACTTCATTTACACCAGCAAGTGGGGGGCAGGTTAGGCTTGTGGGCAGCAGTTTGCTGACCCCTAAATAGAGGATGTGTGCAGGGTTGTGGGGAAGGAGGTGCCCTGACTGGTTTAATCCTCCCTGCCCAGGAGACCTTAGTGGGGCACGGCAGCTCAGAGGGTTGGCCAGTCAGGCCTGGGGTGCCTTCTCCCCTTGTCAAGGGAAGGTAGTAGGAGCCATCATCGTGAGAGGCCTCCTATAGCAAGAAAAGGAAGGTGTGGCTGGTTGATGTGGTTGAGACCTGGTGGGTGACCTCTCTTTCATCCGGTCCACCCAGGCAGCTTCTGGCAGCGGGTACGGGGAAGGCGAAGGCCTGTAGGCTGCCCTGTTTCAGCTGAAGGAAGGCATTTTGAGATGGCGCAGTTGGGGTGTCGCAAAGCCAACCAGGACTGTTTGCTGGGAGCCTGCCCCTGGGTGAGGGTGGAACAGTCCCCAAAACTCCCCAGGCCAGGATGCTGCCTCTTACCCGGACTCCCACAGCTCCACTTCTGCACTTTGAGCTGGGCTGTGCCTGCCGCTGGGTGTCCGTGCACCTAGTGGCATCTGTCTGGCCAGGGCTGCTCTGGGGGCACTACTTCTACCTAAAACCTTTACATAGGGCCTGCTTTTTGGTCTTCGTCTTTCTGCTCTCTGCCTCCGTTTCCTCACCTGTACTTTAGCAGGCACAAATCCTGGGACCCACTGTCCACAGCCTGAAGCCTGGGAGCTAGCTGCCAGCTGGGGTCTGACATGGGCATGGGGGATAGAGGCACAGACAGACTGACCATTCTTTCCCTTTATAGGTTCCCCCAAGCGGCACCACTTCCAACGGCAGCGAGCAGCCAGCGAGAGCATGGAGCAGCAGGAAGGGGACACCCCCCATGCAGACTTCATCCAGTACATTGCTAGAGCTGGCGACGCCGTGGCCTTCCCACCCCCCAGTCCCTTTCTGGCCAGCCCCACCAGCCCACCCCCCTCTCTCGGCAGGTATTTTTCAATAGATAGAGGTGCTAGGGGTGGACCTGTGGGCCCCTGCCCTGCTCCATCCCCCCTAGGTGGCTCAGGGAGCTCCCTCCTGGTCCTGTGGACTCCCACTCGCAACCCCCTGGCAGCCTTGCAGGGGCTACCTCTCCAGCGAGGACCGGAGGAGGAGGGAAGGAGGGAAAGACTGGGTAAGGGCAGGTGGGTGGGCATGGCCCTGGATGATGGCCCCAGGGTCCCCAAGATGGGACACCTGCCCAAGCAGGGCCAGCATGGACTTCTGTCCATCCTAATGTTGCTGTTTCCCAGTGGAATCCTAGGCCTGAAGGGCTGCTCGGTTCCAGGCCTTCTCCCACCTGCCCATGCTCCTGAGGATGGACAGTTGTTTCTCAGAAACTATTTTGACCCCTTTCTCCAGCAACGTCCTTGTCCACCCCAACCCAAAGGCAACTGTCCTGAAGCCCCATAGCCAAACCAGTGGGATGTGGGAATGGGACCCCGAGTGCAGCCTTCCAAGCTTGGGTCACTCCTGTGTGAGCAGGTGACCCTTAACTCTTGTGCATCACCCTTCTGGCCCTGTATGATGGGTGAGTGAGGTGACCCACTAAGGAACAGAGGACAGGCTGGACTCATCTTAGTCTTTAGTTCCTCTCCTGTGGCCCCCATTTCCACCAAGAGCCCAGGAAGAGGGACTCGGGAAGAATGTTAACTCTTGGGGTGGCCTGTTTCTGCAGCCTCAGCAGGTGCTGGGGACCTACATCAGCTTTTGGGTTGGCAAGCAGCCCAGTCCCCCAGTACCTCTGTGCCCACCCTCCCTGACCCAGAGGCGGGTGGCCGGCTGGGAGGGGTTCAGCTGGTGGGCTCTGACAGCCGTGGCCTGGCTTGCAGGCTAGAGGCAGCCGAGGCGGCGGGAGGAGCGAGCCCCGGGTCGCCCCCAGAGCACAGCGTTGGCGCGGGACTGCAGCAGCAGCCGCAGCAGCAGCAACTGGAGCCAGACCCCGAGCAGACCCAGGCCAGCTACCGCGACCTGTGGAGCTTGCGCGCCTCCCTGGAGCTGCACGCGGCCGCTGCCTCAGACCACAGTAGCAGCGGCAACGATCGCGATTCGGTGCGCAGCGGCGACAGCTCTGGGTCCGGGGGCGCGCCCCCGGCCTTCCCGCCGCCCTCACCTCCCGCGCCGCGACCCAAAGACGGCGAAGCGCGCCGGCTGCTGCAGATGGACAGCGGCTACGCCAGCATCGAGGGCCGTGGTGCAGGCGACGATGCCGCCGAGCCACCCGCCGCTCCCGCCCCGCCACGCAGCCCACGCGCCTGGCCACGCCGTCCGCGGCGCGACTATAGCATCGATGAGAAGACGGACGCGCTCTTCCACGAGTTCCTGCGCCACGACCCGCACTTCGACGACGCACCTGCTGCCACGCGACACCGCGCCCGCGTGCACCCGCACGCACGCAAGCAGTGGCAGCGCGGTCGGCAACACAGTGACCCCGGCGGCGCGCGCGGGGCTCCAGCCACGGGTGGCGCGGCCCCGCCCCCTGGAGCACCACGGCCCGCGCGTGCGCCCTTGCGCCGGGGCGACAGCGTCGACTGTCCACTCGATGGCCGCGCGCTTGCCAGCACTGGCGACGACCCGAGCATCCCCGTCATCGAGGAGGAGCCTGGCGGGGGCTGCCCAGGCTCGGGTCTATGCGTCGAGCCCACGGGGGCGCTGCTGGACAAGCTGGCGGCCAGCCTCGATGAGAGACTCTTCCCGCACCGCCTCGCTGAGCCTGTCGCCGCGGCCCCAGCGCTGGTCGTCGCCGCGGCTCCCACGTCCCCTGACCACAGTCCGGCCTAATCCCCGTGTCCCCATCCCACCTCGGCAGCTTTTCCGGCGCCGCCCAGGACCAAGCTGGGGCGCGAAGTCCAGCACGTGTGCTGGGCGCCCTTCGCTGCCGCGCCCAGCCCGCCGCGTCTCGCTGCCCTGGGTGTGCGCGCACGGCCCCCTCCGGGCGCTTGGTGGGTCATAGGACGTCCCGAGGGGCGAGGCTCGAGTGGCGGGACTAGTGAGCACCCTCCAGCCACCCTGGGCCCCCACGGGCGGAGGGTCCGTGGCCCAAGGCCCGTGTCCCAAGGCCCGTGTGAGGACTGCGAGCTCGAGCTGGGGGCCGACGCGGGCCGGGTGCACGCGGGAGCCCACCGCCCGCCGAAGCCGTTTACCTCACTACGGCGAGCGCCCTCCCACTCCCACTCGAGCAATAACGGCGGCTGCCGCCCCACGCCCCCACCCTCCGCATGTGGCCCGCCAGTGTTGAGACGTGAAGGAGACGGCCCAGGTGACACGGTCTCAAGTTTCCCCAGCTTTATTTATTGCCAAAAGATGGGGCAGCCCGCGGCTGGGCAGCCCCTGCCGCTCCTCCAAGCTCTCCGCCCTGTCCGTACCGTGCAGCCATGGGTCTCCTGTTGTGGTTCTGTTTCCCTGGTTGGTCATAAATATTCACTGCGTATTCTGATTTGCTCTGGGTTTTCTCTGAAGACCCCAGACGGCAGCGGCCTCGGGGGAGGAAGGTCACGGTCTTTCACAGGCCCTGGCCACTGCCTCGGCAAGAAGCCATGACCATTGCCATGACCATCTGTGGGCCACCGTGCTCCCACCTGCCTCCCGACAACCCCCAAACACCTGCACAGCCGTAGCTCAAATCCACCTGTTTATTTAGAAAAGAAAAGGAACCAACCAAATGACAAAAGCAAGGCTCCCTCGGTGCTCCTGCAGGAGGCCTGGTCTCCAGCCGGCAGGAGCACAGTGAGGACCACGGAGGTGGCAACATAAAGTGCATCTCAGAGGCCAGGCCCCCCCCTCCCTCCCTCTCCCTGGGGAGGCTCCACACAAAGTCAAGTGGTGCCTACTGTCCAGCGGTGCTGTGTGCAGGGCGGTGAGGGCAGGGCCAGGCCCAAGTCCCTGCCAACCCCAGTCCTGGCCCTTGTGCTCCCGACGTCCTGAGCAGTCAGCACAGAGGCATGGCGGCCACCTTCCTGGGCAGGCAGTGGACCAAGAGCTGACAGGAAGACTGAGGAAGGTCTGGGCCACGGCACCTGGCCAGGGCTCCTGGAAACAGGCTGCGGGAGGACAGAGGCAGGTCACTCTGGGCACCTGGACCTCTTTGCTTCCTGAGGGGCAGCCTGCGCTAATGGCCCACTGCAAAGATGGGGAAACAAGCCCATGAACAGGGGCTGCCAGGTTCCTGGGCCCTGACCCAGGGAGACTACCCTGACAGTCATTCCCCAGAGTAAATTGACAGCAGGCCTGGCCCTTCCCCAAAAGCAACTTCCCACCCTGCAGGCTGGCTCTGGACCCTGGGTGGGGTGGGGCAGGCAGAGCTGGAGGAGGTGCCCTGAGAGTCCAGCAGCACATCTAGGATGACTCGGCCCCTCAGGACGCTCAGAGCACAAGCAGCCAGGCAGGGCTGGTCCCCTCTGCCACCCACACAGCCACCTCAAGAGCCTCTCTCTTGGGAGTGGCCTGAGCACACAGAGCCAGTGGCTCCAGTTGGGCCCTGAGTGGGAAGGGAACTTGGCCCAGTAAAGGCCACAGGTGCTGGTGTGGCAGGACAGCACCCTTCAGAAAATGGCCTCTACTACATCCCTGGCCCTGCCAAGACAGGCCATGAGCTGCTGAGCCCTGCCCCATAGCAGGGCTGCAGTGACCAGCAGGACCAACAGAGATGGGGGTTGTTAAAGCTCAGGGCTGTGAGCTGGGTGGACTGGGAGTCAGGCACTGACACCAACCTGCCCTGATGGAAACCGAGTACGTGTCAGCTCAGGGGCCATTGCCCAGGTCTCCTCTAACAACCACTTTTAGGCCCTGGGACTCAAGAGTCCAGGACTGCTGGGGACTGCACCAACAGCCTGAGTGCCAGAATGGCCCTGGCTGTGGTCGCCATCCCCCCACCAGCTGGTTGGGCGCGTACCACCTGCAGGCTGGGCCCTCACTGCTGCTTGCAGGCTGAGAGTCGGCGGATCTTGCTGCTGGAGCAGGCCTTGCGGGCAGGGTTGGTGGCACTGGCCCGGCACTCCACCTTGGTCTTGGAGCTCAGCTGCGCCGACTCTGTGCCATTCATGCACACAGCCTTGGGCAGGCTGTGGCTCTGTCCATTCTGACTGGCCTCCTCTTCTGGGACCTGTCCTAGGAGGAAAACCGCAAGTGTGGCCTAAGCCAAGGGGCAGCATCATCCAGAGCCCCAGGCCCAGGCCACCTGCTGCCCACCACCAGGACAGACCAAGGACCTGTGCACCCTCAAAAGCCACCTTCGGGTTCTGGGGGCCCTCTGTGTATCCAGGCCAGATACCTCCCAAAGGCAATAAAAGCACAGGGACTCCCTATGCCCACCATATACTGTACCCGCCTGGACCTGATGGGTCTCCTCTGAAGGAACCTCACTCAATGGAGGGGGAGGGCTGGTGGGACAGGGCCCTTGCTCATGCTCACCTGCCTGCTGAGGTGTGTGCTGTGGGTGTCTGCCTGCAGGTGGGCCTGGGCTGCCCTCATGCCCTCCAGCCTGTATTGCATGGCACAGGCACCTGGCACAAGCCTACTGGGGATGAAGCTCAGCAGGCACACCACCAGGGTTTCTGCCTGCCCCAGGCCCGCTGGCTGCCAACTGCCCAGCATCCTGGGGGTACCACAGGCTGGATCACTGCTAGCCCTCCCTGCCCAGTGGGCACTGACTGGGAGCACTGGGGCCACTGTCAACACAGGACATGGCTATGCCCACCCTGCACACGTGGTGGAAAGCTATACTACCCACAGCTCTCGGGCGCCAAGAGCACCTCATGGGAGGAACTTCCAGAGCTTTGGGAACTCACTGTGAACCCACTGTGTGCAGAAGCCATCAGTTCTAAAAGGCACCTTGGTAACAGCAGCCCCCCTGTCCTAAGGTCTGGGCCATGAGCTGGAATGTGAGTGGGGGTTAGACACAACGCCGTCTTGTCTGCCGGAGTACTGAGCACCTAGGGGACATCTCCCGTCCAACACACACATACAAGCTTAAAAGCTACCTCCACAGGCACAATCCAGAACTTGTGGTCTGGGAGCAGCCTACAGAGTGGGTGACTAAACCCCCATTCTGAGTGGGGCAGTCAAGGAGCTCAAAGTAGGAGGGTCTTGGGGCAGGTGAAGTGACAGGGCTGGCCCAGGAGCAGCTCAGAGAGGGCCGTGGCCAGACCCAGAGTGGCTGTCCTGCTTCTGTAAAAGGCGGTCCAAGGTCAGGGGTAGGGCTCCAACCACAAGGGCACATCCAGAGCCACCCAGTCAATCAGGCACAGAGGCAAGGAGAGGGTGTCCAGTGACCGAGTTTTCAGCCCCTCCTCTGTCAGGTACCTTCCCTAAAGGCAAAGCACTGGGACTGAAGGCTTGAGGGGTCCTCAGGTGGCCCTTGGGAGCAAGCACAGACCCAGCCAGAGCAGCCCTATGCAGAGGCCTCTCACTGGGTGCTGGGCACCAGGGGCTGTGGAAACTGAGGGGGGGCCTGAGAGGCGGCATAGGACCCGTCTCCAGCAGAGGCTCTGGGCACCTGGCTGGGCTCAGGCTTACTCTCACTCAGTCCACCAGTCTGACACAAGGCCCCAGTGTTCTGGGAAGAAGGCCATCAGACACCAGACACAGACCCCCTCCAGTAGGGTTTCCCGGGGTGGGGGGGCACAGTGCACACCTCTCCTTCCAGGACAACCCGGGTCCCAAGAAAGTGCCTAGCACCCAGTAGCTGGCAGGAGGCAGTGTGCACCCAAGTACCTCAGGGCACGAGAGGCCTCCAGGACATTGTCCTGACTGCTATGGCGCAGGGCTCCTGGCTGTACCTCCCCGGCCTTGGGCCTGAGGGCCAGCTGCCTGGAGCTGGGTTATTTGAGGGGACTGGAGGACGCAGGTGCTGCTGAGCACTGTGACTGGCTTGAGGGGAGGGAGGATATCAGGGCCCACCCAGGGACTCTAACATTCTGGGACCCTCCTCTGGCCAGTGGGCATCCCATGCTCCAGGGACCTGCCTTCGCACCCTGCCCTGCCTTCTCGGCTCGCCTCAGGCCCCTTGTATACCAACTCTTTCTCAAACAGCCTGGAGGCCACAGCCCCAGTGGGACCTTGAACGAGAGGGCCCAGGCCACAGTAAGCATCCACCTGCAGACACACGGCCAGGCAAAGCTTTATGGCAGGACACACTCAGGAGGACTAGGGGATTGGCCCAGGCAGCGGTGTGGAGCAGGCTACACTAAGGCCTCAAGCTCCTCCTCGGGGGCCACCGCAGTGCCAGCCTCCTGGGCCTTCTCTCCACAGGGGTCTGCACCCTGGCTCTTCTGCACGCCTCTCTCCTCGCTAAGCCCTGCCTCAGACGCCTCCTCGTCACCTGGGGAAGAAGGCAACATGGGGTCAGAGTGCAGGCGGCTACAGTGACTGGGAGGGAGGACTGCAGTGAGAAGCCCCTCCCTCCACCCTGCAGGTCTCCCCACCTGTTCCCACTGGGCTTGGGCCAGGAGGGCTGACAGGAGGCAGATGCCCAGGGAACCCTCCCAGCAAGATCAGCCCCCGGATGCCCAGCAGCTCCCATGGCCTGTCTGCTGTGCCTTGGCAGCCGGGGACGGAGGTGGCCTGCACCAGGCTGGAGCCTTCAGGGAGGAGGGACCTGCCACCAGAACACAGCTGGCCCCCCTGCATACTGCCAGGTGCCCAACTGAAGAACATCCAGGCCGGGCTGGCTCTGCACCCACAGCATGGGGTCTGCCAGCTCACCAGGCACGGTGAAGTCCTGGGTGTAGATGATGCCATCCTCAATGTCAAAGAGGTCCTCATCCTCATCCTCATCAGTGCGGCCATGTAGGTCCTCCAGGTAGGGCACGACTGTCATGCTGCGCCAGCGGTCCTTGGTGTCTGGGCTGGGCGGGATGGGCACCAAGGCCTCTGCCAATGGATGCTTCTTCCGGAACCAGCTACAAGAGCCCATCAGGACAGGCTCCTCAGTGACCACTGGTCCCACCACTCATGCAGGAGCCAGGGACTGCTGTGACCCTCAGCTGCTTCCCCTACCGTCTGCCTGCCACAGTCTTTGCAGGATCAGGCCATCTGCCAAGACCACAACACTGTCCCCTACAGGGGAAGCAGGCCCTTAGCTACCTCCATGGCTCTCACCCCCACCACAGCAGGGGGTTAGACTGGGCTGTCCACTGGCCGAGGAGCCAAGGCCAGACAGGAGTGAAACAGGTCCCCAGGGCACTATGGCCTGCCCCTTGAGGCAGAGTGGCATAGTCCATAGAAACCCAGGCAGTGGTCAGGAGACACGAGGGGAGCTGGTCCCAGACCTTCCTCAGGTATTTATACTAATACCACGGCCACCAGAGACCTAGAATCCAAATGCTAACACAGCAAATGGCAGGCCTGGGCTGGCAGTGGATGCCCAGGAACCGGCACACCCCACTGACACTGGGCCCACCCTGCCTAGCTGCTCTCCACCCTCCTCCACGCCCTCTGCTCACCAGGGAGGAGCCCTTCAGGCCCACAGCTCTTGGCCCTTAACAGAAGTTTCTGCAGATTGGTGTGTCCACTTGCTGGCTAGCAGCTGAGGCCCTCGAGGCTGTCGGCAGGGTCAAGATTCTGTGGCCGGCCCCTGCCAGCTCCAGCACAGACTCTGATGAGGTGCCTCAACCCCTGAGGCCCTGTCCTCTTGGGACCCAGGGCTCTAGACAGCTGGGGTATCAGTGAAGTCTGGGGTCTCCATAGAGGCTTCTGTGGCCACCCCGATTTACAATTGCCCACTGTCGTCACATCCCTCTGGGCCTGCCCAGGCCTCTAGGTCTGCCCAGGCCTCTAGGTATCCATTCCAGAAACTCCCCTAGCGGGGGGCCACTCCTTAAGCCCCTAATCCTGACTGGCTGCCTGTAGCTTCCCAGACCCCAGACCAAGCTGGCGCCAGCTCTTGGATGCCAGACATCCTCACCCCTGAGGTTAGAGGAGTCTGGCAGGGGGAGGCAGCTCTGGCCAGAACCTCTGACCCACCCACCCTGTCCCCTCTTCCTCACTTGGAGCCCCTGAGCTGCTGGGGCCCAGGCTAACTGTCGCCACTCTTGGGAGGAAACCAAGGGCAGAGAGGGGGAGGCACACTTCACATACACCCCATCAGGCTCACACTGGGACGGGACCTGCACAGGCCAGCAGTGGGTGCTTCCTACACTCACAAGTGGCCCCATAACACCCAGCCAGGTGGTCATGGGCCTGCCCTGCTGGGCCCACCCCAGCGTCGTCTTCATCACATCCCTGTCCTCTCGACCCAAACATCCAGCTGGCTCATTTCCCCACGAACTGGTCGCTGGTGCCCAGCAAGCCAAGTAGAAGAGACCTGGGCAGGAGGGCAGCCCAGGCTCACCTGTGCTGCCGGATCTGCCGTATGGAGAACCTCTTGGTGGGCTCGTACTCCAGCATCCCTGCGAAGATCAGCAGACACCAGGTCACCATGCTGGACAGGCCCCTGCCACTCCCTGCTGCCTGCTCCACCTCAGTCATCCATATGCCACCCACCCTGCTGTGCACACTGAGCACCAGGATGGGCCGCTGTGAATTGAGCCAAGAGCGCAGGACCTGGTGCCCTGGAAGGGCCTCCACCTGGGGGAGGGACTGGCTCAGCACAGATCCTACTGGCCACAGCACCTATGAACTGGCCCTGCAGTCTGGACAGGAATGCCCCATGCTCTACTGGGCCCTGGCATGTGTTGGGCAACCAGCGCCACCTGCTGCACTGCCTGAGCAACAGCAGGCAGAGGCCCCAGAGACCCTGCTGGGCACTAGAGAAGTGATGTGGGTACAGTAGCCAGTGCCTTCAGGGTGCCTTATCCCGAAGCAAAGGCTCAAAGCAAAGAGCAGAACCTGGGCGGGGGGGGAGGCAGCAAGCCAGGCCCTGCATGCAGAGGAGGCAGGTCTGGGCGCTAAGAGCCACCCTGTAGCAAGATCATTTGGGACACTGCTCACAGGAGGCAGAAAGGGTGATGAGATCACAGGCCAACCCAAGACCCATCATCCACTGGCAGCCTCCCCTCGGGTCTGTGCCTCCAGCCCAGTCACCGACAGGACACCCTCTGGCCGACACAGGCCCAAGTGCCCCACACTGGGCCACAAACAGGGGCAACGCCCACCTTTGAGCAGGTCAGAGAGCGGGGGGCCACAGTCACCCGGGATCGTGTAGTCCCCCTTCCCAATGTTCTCGAACAGCTTGTAGATGTTGTCCCCTTCAAATGGGTACAGGCCCGTTGTGATGTTGTAGCTTTATGTCCAAGGGAAGGAAGAGGTGGTCAGCTGCCGGCTGGCACCCTCAGACCCCCAGTGAGGCTGCCTGTGGGGGCTGTACAGGCTCTGAGACAGGCCCCATCACCACCATTTCATACTCCTGGAGGCAGGAACTTGCCCTGACCATGGCCAGGTGAGGTGGGAGAGGGGAGCATGCCCTGAGCCCATGGGGCCAACAGTCCTGAGGCCATGCTCGCTGGCAGGGCTTCCTCTGGGGTGATGTAAGCATTAGGAATTAGCTAGAGATGGGGACGAGCCACTCTGGACACCAGAACCCAGTGACTGCACACTGTGAGAAGGGGAATGTGGGATAGGTGACCTGTTACCTCCACAAAGGTGCACACCTACCCAGGAGCTGTCTGGAGGTGTGAGGGTCTGGACTTACAGCCACACCCTATGCCTGACAGGGCCTGTGGGTGCCAGAGAATCACTATAGCCCCTCAACGCTGCACACACTGCACGTTCAGGGTGGGACTAGAGTCCAGGGCACTTACAGTGTGACTCCAGCTGACCAGATGTCCACCTTGAAGCCAGAGAAGGTGTCCAGGCCATTGGCAATTTCAGGTGGCTGGAATGCTGGGGAGCCCTGGCTTGTCCGGCAAGTGTCATCCGCAGCAAAAGGGTGCAGGGCCTGCAGCAGTGCCACGTGGCCCTCAGGGAGCGCCAGGGGAGGAACCCACACCCCGACTCTCCTCGCGGAAACAGGCGCCTACCTCCGCGACACCCAGGTCGGAGATCTTGAGTGTGCCACTGGTGGTGAGCAGCAGATTGCCGGGTTTGATGTCCTTGTGCACGATACCCTGGCTGTGCAGGTACTCCAGTCCGTCGATGAGCTGGCAGAAGTACCTGCCGGGGGGCACATGACTTAGCTGCCTGGCCTCCTGACTTTCCACTGCTGCACCAGGACCACCCAGGACAAGATCTGTGCAGTCGAGTCTCGCAGAGACCAGAGGCTACAGGATGGCTGCTCAGGGTCCCGGCAAACAGACCAGGGAACCTCGGAGACCACCGGCTGAAGCTGAGCCCACTGGGGCCCCACATGGCTGTGCAATCGCCCCCACAGGCCAGGGACCCCAGGCTCACCCCACTGGCCTGGCTGGCCCCTGGTATCCCAGGCTCCCCGGACCCTAAGTCTTGCTCAAACCTTGATCTCTCTTCACCCCCATGGTGCTGCAGCCTCCTGACTGCTGCCACCTAGCAGGGCCAACCAGGCCACAGGCAGCCACCAGGGCGTTCCTGACAACCAGCAGGTCTCAAAGCCACAGTGCTTCCCAGGGGGAGGGGCTGCAGGCCTTGGGAGTGGGAACCCAAGTTATGATAGGCAGGAGGACCCCATGATGGGCAGTTCTGCAGCAGCTGGGCTGTGGATACCACACTCATGCCCCCCAAACTACTTTTAAAAAACCTGGGTTTTCACTCCCGTGGTAATCAGGAAATTCAGTTTGAACATGGGACTAGATGGTCCAGGCCTTGGACCTGTGTGTGCTGGGACTGCTGGTGGGCTCTGCCACAGCTCACTCACCCATGGGCTTGGCACACAGGGAAGCGCTTCTCGGGCACACTGTCCAGCATCTCCTGCATGCCACACACGCAGTACTCCATCACCATATACGTGGGGCACTAAGGAAACACGCTCATGGGCAGGGCCCACCCACCCCAGACCAGGGCAGCAGCCAGGAGGGACGGCTCTGCAGCTTCCACCCCAGAGAGACCCCGGGCCCAGAGTAACTGAGTTAATGAAGATGAACAGCCATGCTTAGGGCAGGGAACAAGGAGCACAGGTCCCTACACTCTCTCGGAGTCCTGGCTATCACCAGAGCCCACCGGGGCTCCTACCCCTGCAGGACCTCAGAAGAGCCACCAGAGGGCAGTGCTGGACCTGCCAGCAGTACACACCTTGATGGAACAAGGACTTGGTACAGCTGCTGCCCCAGGGGCAGGACTGTGGGGCAGCACTGTCCACAGGGACTGTCTCCAGGATGCGGGGTTAAAACCTTCTCAAGGGCCTGCACACAGGACACCCACCCCAAAGTCCCTCAGCAGAAAGGATATATCTTTTGCTTCTCCTCGTTGTATAGCACGTCTACCAGCTGGATGACGTTTCTGTGCCGCAGACGCCTCAGGAGCTGGATCTCCCTGGAGTGAGAAGGCGGGTGACAGCAAGCCTCAACCTCAGTGACCCCGGCCCGTCAGCACAGGCTCCACGACAGCACAGCAGGGCCGACGCCAGGCCTGCCGTCTCACCCCTTGCCCCTTCCCCTGGAGGCCTATCAGCTTCAGAAGTCAGGTCGGGTCTCCGTGGGCCACCTCAGGGCCAGGGCTTGGGCTGAACACCTTCCACACAGGGACCACACGTCTGCCGAGGCAGCCCACTGGCCAGCAACGTTGAGCCATCTGGGAAGGTCTTGCTGCCACTGCTATGTATGGTCAGGTTTGCTAGGGTACCAGCGTGAGAGGACCACCCCCTACTGGTGCCAGGACTGAACTCAGGGACATTTAACCACTGAGCAACATTATCAGACCTTTTATTTTTTGAGACAGGGTCTTGCTAAATTGCTTAGGGCCTCACTAAATTGCCTCGAACTTGTAATCCTCCTGCCTCAGCCTCCTGAGCTGCTGGGATTATAGGTGTGTACAGCCGTGCCCAGCTCCAGCCAGACTTTTTCAACTCAAGAATAATAGTTGTGCTTCATAAATAAATAAATAATAGTTGTGCTTCACTGATGTCAGTGCACGCACACTTGCTGTGTGCTGGGGGTGGGCCACATTGGCTCCATAACCCTCCTTGTACTAAGAGGCCACACCTCCAGGCATCCTACCCACAACCCCCTAGGTCCACTCCCTGGGCACACCACCCAGACAAGCCCCAGTGGTGGAAGGATGGTCCAGAGAAGAAGGCATGGGCAGGATGAGCGTGCCTGTGGACCCCCACAGCAGGGCCGGCCTCCAGCAGAGAACCTGGCACTGCTTCACTGCCACAGACCAAGTCTGACCAGCAAGGAGCCTCCTACCCAGGTCTGTGAGCTGGCAACCTGGGAACCCCTACCAAGCAGCTGTCCAGAAGGACCAAAAACGTCCTCCTAGGCACCTATGCAGGACACTCATAGCACACACAAGGTGAGCAGCCCAAGTACACAGGAGGGTGAAGGGACACACAGTTGGCACATCCACACCTGCAGCATCCTCGGCCAGGGCAGGAGCACAGCGACAGCTGCAGCGAGGATGACCTGAGGACCTTGTGCTTGCTCAGTGAGAGCCAGACACACAGGCAGCAGTATGAGCCCAGTGACAGGAGGACCCAGCAACGAAACATACATGAGTGCAGGACTGGGGGGAGTGGGGCAGGGGGAACGACTGCTCTTGGGAATGGGAGTTTCCTTTGTTCCATACAAAAGGTTCTCACACTGGATTGTGGCAACACTCATAATATGTAGTATATAAGCTTCATCCCGATTAAAGTCTAAAAAAAAAATCCTGCTGGTGAGGTAGTACACACCTGTAAATCCCAGTGACTCAGAAAGCTGAGGCAGGAGAATCACAAGTTAGAGGCCAACCTCAACCTCAGCAACTTAGCAAGACCCTGTCTCAACATAAAAAATATAAAAAGGGCTGGAGTAAGTCAGCGGTAGAGGGCCCCTGGATTCAACCCCCAGTGCCAAAAAAAATTTCTTAAAAAAAAAGTAGGAAGGGCTGGGACTGTGGCTCAGCAGTAGCACACCTGCCTGGCACACGCGAGGCACTGGGTTCAATTCTCAGAACCATGTATAAATAAATAAAACAGAGATCAATCAACAAGGGGGAAAAACCCAAACACCCTAGGAAGCCCAAGCATGACACATGAAAAAGAGAGGGTGTCCCCTGAGTTTGCCTGGCCCCACCCCCGAGGTTCTGCCTCTTCCAGGAAAGCCTGCCCACCCCCCCCCTGCCCCTGGGTGCCCTTGCCCCCACCCCAGTGCAACAATCCTGTGACTCTGTGCTGCTCATCCCTCACTGAATCGAGGGAGGTCAGTCTCCTACCAGGACAGGGTAGGGAGGGGACCCTGGAGCAGGGCAGGGTGTGAAGAGTGACAGTCAGTTTGGGGAAGGGCTGGGAAAGGAGGGAGGAAAGGAAGCAGGTGGGGGTGTGGCCACGGCCCCACAGTTCTGCATTTGGGGCTTGTTTCAGGCTGGCAGTGCCATTCTCTCTGAGTACAATGGCAGGACCCAGGGAGGTTATTTACAGATTGCCTTGTGCCTGTGTTCTCAGCCTGGCAGGCACCCAGACCTATGGAGGACACTAGGGATCAGGCTGGACACAGCTTGGGCCACTCCCTCCTCAGGAGAGTGCAGCGTGGGCTCAGGAGGTCCTGCTGGCTCGGCCTCAGTCCATTCTGTGGTCCTGGACTCACTTGCCAGCTGGGGTCACAGACCCAGGAGGCAGGTGTGCCTCCACCTCCAAGGAGACAGGCAGCCACAGGCACACCTCTCTTGACACCAAGACCCTGAGCCTCCTCAAGCAGAGGCAGAAGGGAGATGGGAGACGGGCGGCACAGAGCCTAGGCCACAGCCTCCAGGCTCAGGGGGCCCTTTGCAGAGCCACCCATCACACATCTGCAAAGTACTGAGGAGGCAGGAACCCAGAGACAGTGAGGGCAACCACGTCACTCCTGTCCCTGCCTCCTGCTCACTCCCACCACCGGCCCCACCTCTTCCTCTTGAGCTCCCAAAACCTGGGCCAGGTCTGGAGGTTGAGAACCCCCAGGGCCTGGGCAGCCTGGCTCACTTGCCCGCTGGTTGTGGCAGGGACAGGCCCATACAACCCCAGGCTCCCATGGACCCTGGCTGCAGGAAGGAGAGGAGAGAAGCTGAGGCAAAGGCTGGTCCTCCACGCAGCTATGTCTACACACAGAGGCCACCTGTCATGCCCAAGCCCTCAGTGTACCAGAGAGAAGCCACAGCAGGGGCACCTGCTCACACCAAGGCTCGCTGTGCAGGAGGAGGCCCTCCACAGAGCAGGCCCCAACCTCCACCCTTTGACACACATGCCACAGCCCAGCTCTGAGCACCCTCTAGGCGCAGGCCTTGCCCCAGCCAGTGCCCTGGGCAGACTCCAGCACCCTCCAAGGAAGTGCGCAGCATGCAGCTCCACATGTGCCTGCTCCTCAGAGACCAGAGAGCAGGAGGCCTCCGACTCCCAAGTCAACACAGGTCCTCTGGAATGTCCCCAACAGCTCAGGGGCTGCCCAGAGACCCACCAGAGAAGAAAAGTGGTCACCCCAATCCTGCACTCTGCCCTGTCAAGCATTCTGCCCAATTCTCGTTGAGTGCCAGTATCCACAATCACTTGCCCTGCTAAGGCCCTAGGGTGCTGTCCACATTGAAACCCACATGCTGAGGTGGTCAGGCCCAGGAGCTGGACCCCGGTTTATACTGCCTGCAACATCAGGAGTGTATTCTGGCATCTACTGAAAACCGGAAATGGATTGAACACTTTTTTGCAAATAATTAACAGGATTTTCCCTTTGGTACCATGATGGACACTGGGTCAGTTTGCCCTCTGGGGTAGGGTGTTCTGGGAACTACAGCTGCTGAGCAGTGACCCTGGTCTTATTCCACTGCATGCCAGGTGCACCCCAGTCCTGACATCACCCAGTTACTCCTGGGGCAGCACCACAGCAGGTGAGGCTCAGTGCTGTCCTCCCCAGGGCCTTCCTGGCCTGGCATCCAGTGCTGACCCCCAGACCCAGCCACTGCTCATGCATATAGCCCTGTTTTCAAATGCTCCTCTGGTTCCATGGTCTCTGCCCCCATCCAGTGGACACACCCATCTGAGTGACAGTTGCTACCCCTCAGCCCCGGGGCACCTGGACCTGCCCAGTCTCCCCTTCCACTCTGTGGGACTTTGTCCACCTGGACTCCTACAGTAGCCCTGGCTTCCTGGCTCTTCTCTACAGGAGACTTCCCATTTCCAGCTGACAGGAAACACCCCTGCATGGAGGGCCAAGCAGACCCAGGGCTTCCCATCTCCCCCAAGGCCTTTGAGGGCAGTGAGCTGCAGCTCTTTCTTAGGGTCTAGGGCATAGAATCCATGTCCCCAGCTGCCACAGCCACAAGCCACAGGCATCCCAGATGCAGTGCAGAGCTGCCTTCTCTCAAGTCTTCTCCAGCACCTGCCATTCACTCCCCAAACCGACTCTCCCTGAGGTCCTAGTGGGGCCAACAAGGGGTGCCATCTAACTGGGGCTCAGGTAGGCACGGGCACATCTCTGGAGAAGCGCTCCACTCGTGCAGGTGCATGCTGGGCGATGAGCCCTTACCAGCATGCCTCGGGTTCAGTCCCAAGTACAAAAAAAGTGGCCATCGTTTCACAGCAGGAAAGGCAATAGACTGGTTCTGTGACCTGTTTTGGTCCAGAAGTCCCACAGCAGCAGACTTTCGACTATTGGGAAAGATCTTAAGAATCATGCTACTGAGGACATCCGAGCAAGGCGGGACCAGAACCTCTGGCGCTGCTCAGATTCTCTGCAGCCCTCCACTTCACACCTGACTGAGGCTGGCTGTGACTCCTACCTGTCTTCCTGAGGTGACTTCCTAACAGGTGACGGAATAGACCGATTTTAGAAAATGAACTAGATCAGCGGGGCGGGGGCTCAGTGGTGGAGCACTTACCAGCCTGTGTGAGCACTGGGTCAACCCTCAGCACCGCATATAAACACATGCATGAATAAAATCACATTCCATCAATGCCTTAGATCTTTTTTTAAATAATGGACTTTGGGACTGAGTTGTGTCTCAGTGGTAGAGTTCTTGCCTTGCATGGGTGAGGCACTGGGTTCAATTCTCAGCACCACATATGAATAAATGAATAAAATAAGGTCCATCAACATCTAAAACACTATTTGAAAAACTGGACTAGAAAAAAAATGGACTAAAAAACCCCAAAAACCTCAACTGAAAAAAGTAACATAGGAAACTTTTCCAAAGAGACAATATTTTGTTTGTGCAGTGCTGGGGATGGAGACCAGGGCCTCACGCATGTTGGGAAAGCATACCCCCAAGCCCTTTGTATTTTGAAACAGGATTTCACTAAGTTTCCCAGGCTGGCCTTGAACTTTCCATCCTCTTGCCCCAGCCTCTTGAGTTGCTGGGATGACAGG